CTGTTCTTCTCGGAACGATAAGACGATCAACGTCTGCTTTGGGATGGAATGGCATCGTGGAAGAGGCATGATACAACTGGAACTAAGCTATAAAACGTCAACAATAGGACTTATGAAATACCTGGAAACAACAAAAGACTGGATGTTGCAACTTGTCAAGGACCATGAAAAACAGAAAAAGTTGCACTCTATTGTGAAAGAATCAAGGAACTTCGAACGGGAATTAAAAGTAGAAAACAATGAAAGGCAAGGAGAACTAGAAGAAGCAACAAAAGAAGCTAAGAAGTTAAAGGTGAAGGTAAAGGCTGTGGGCAAAAAGATGTTGCAAGAGAAATGGGAACAGAAATCTCTGCATGGAAAGTATGTTCTTCGGAGTAAAGATGCTAATGTAGACCAGACTCACACCCATCAGTGGCTCCGAAGTGCAGGACTGAAAGCACAGACTAAAGGTTTCCTTCTTGCAGCACAAGATCAAACACTGTCCACAAGTAACTACCAAGCCAACATATTGAAAAATGGAGCAGACCCCAAATGCAGATATTGCAATGAACAGTGTGAGACAGTTGACCATCTTGTATCAGGATGTGCTGTACTTGCCCCTAACGAATACAAGGCTAGGCATGATCGAGTTGGACAATGCTTGCATTGGAAAATTTGCCATCACTTTGGTATTGAAACCCCAAAACACTGGTATGAACATCACCCAGACCCAGTTGTTGAGAGTGACAATGTTTCGATCCTTTGGGACTTCCCTGTTTACACTGACAGAACCATAAATGCTAACCGGCCAGACATCATAATAAAAGACAGGAATGAAGGAACTTGCCTCCTTATTGACATGAGTATACCAACAGACAGAAATATATCAAGTAAAGAATTCGATAAGCTGAGCAAGTACAAAGACCTTGAAATTTAAATCCAAAAAATGTGGAAAGTACAAGCTACCACTGTACCTGTGATAGTGGGTGCATTGGGAATGATAAAGAAAGGCACAGAGAATCACATCAGCAAGATCCCTGGCGAGCCATCACTAAAGGAAATCCAAAAAATTGTTTTGACTGGCACAGCTCATGTCCTGAGAAGGGCATTGTCGACATGACCGCCATCACAACCTTTTTTTCGCCTTAGGTTGCAGGTAGCAACCCGGTTAGAAAATTGTAAAGTCGGAAATCTAAAGAAAAACAACTTTATAATAATAATAATAATAATAATGAAAACATTTTTTATTTTATATTCTTCTACTTACAACAGTAACCTCACTTTACAGGTAGTTACTATCGGCTAGCCTGGTGACAAGTTTACTAATTTTACAAAAGTTATAACATTTAAATAAAATCATATGAGTGCAAAGAATCTTTAGAAGGAGAGCAGTTTAGGGTTTGTCCAAGTCTTATTGCGCATACAGAATATATAATAGGATGTGCGTATAATTATTGCTGACAGTTTTTTAATTATAAAATTACGGTGTTGGTAGTCAAGTTTTAGTTCATCACACATATCGATGAAAGAATCACAGGAGTAGATAATAATAATGGAAACTTTTCATTTTCAATTCAATTAAAACTAAAATTACAAATTTCACTATTACAAAGGTAATTGCAATTGGCTAGCCTGGGTTTACAAAGAAAAAGACTATTACAAGCACAAACAAAATAAATTAACAAAAAAAAGGAAAAAGTGTGTTCGTCATTGTTTGTTTTAGAAGTCGTCAGTAGTAGAGATCATTAGAATTGAAGAAGTTCAGGATTATTCCAAGATTTATTTCTGCGGCAGAAAATGTAATAGGTAGTACGGATAGTTAATGTTGGATAGTTTGGAGATCATGAAGCGGAGATGATTCTCGCTGATATCTAGAGCGTTGCAGAGTATAATGGAAACTTTTCATTTTGAATTCCTGTTAAAACTACCATTACAAATCTCACTATTACAAGGTAATTTGTAACTGGCTAGCCTGTGTTTACAAAATAAAAACTATTACATCGTAGTAATGAGAAAAATAATGAAAACATTTTTTATTTTATATTCTTCTACTTACAACAGTAACCTCACTTTACAGGTAGTTACTATCGGCTAGCCTGGTGACAAGTTTACTAATTTTACAAAAGTTATAACATTTAAATAAAATCATAATAATAATAATAATAATAATAATAATAATCATAATCATAATAATCATAATGAAGCCTTGAAACCTTTGGTAGCTTGTTGCTACCTGCTTTCAAGGAATTTACCGAATTCAACAACTAATTCGAGAAATATGGAATTGAACATAATAATAATAATAAAAATAATAATAATAACGGATGTTAACAGATTCACATAACATGGCTATTCTCTGTTAAATAATAAGTAAGATATTGTTATTAGTTGAAGAAATATTGTCCTGAAAAGATGTTAAAAAAGTGTCTATTAAATACGTAGGGGAAAAACAATTTCCTAAACTAACTTAATACATTGTACAATTAAAAATGGCTTATTTAATTTATAAAAAAAAGGTTCCGATTTCATTCTTTAAAAAGTTTTTCGACGATGATACAAATTTACTATATACACTACAGTTCCTTATGTTTTCTGGCAAAGAATTGAAGAGTCTTGCTGCATTATCCTGGAAGGTTCCGGTTTCCTTTGGTATAATTAGTGTTTTGGCTCTGCTTTATCGAAGCTCTCTGGTAAATTTGTTCTCGTCTAGAGGCAAGTGTGTTGGCCAGGACTTACCATTAATCGCTTTGAATGCAGATTTAGCTCCCTTCGTTCTTTTATTGGCAACCATCCCAATTTTGAAATCATTACAGGATCCTTTACATATTTGCCAGTTACAAAAGATGCAGCAGCGAATTGCACTTTATGCAAGCGTTTTTGCTGTGCAACAGTAAGTGGTGTATACACTTGGTCTCCATAGTCAATCTCGGAGAGGATGAGTGACTCTGCCAGCTGCTTCTGAACATTAAAGGGGGCCATTTTCTTTAACTTCTTCAGAATAGCTAGCGTACCGTAGCAAGAGCCGGTAATGACCTTTATATGGTTATCCCAAGTTAGATGATTATTCAAATGTACTCATAAAAGCTTGCATGCATCAGTTCTTTCTGATTTCTAATATGTCCATGTTCAAGCAACGAACAACGTCCAAACTCCGCATAAACCCCAGGAGACGTTGTAGAGCCTTTCACACCTAGGGATGATTTGCAAGCCATAAGATGAAGTTCTTCCGGGCATTCCCATATACTTTTAGATGTAAACAAAGATCAATAAAAATCTGACATATTGTTATTATATTGTCTGTAAGAAGTTACAGTTTCTTATGAAAATGCTTCTGTTGTCGTGGATAGGCCTATCCGTACTTTTTTGGATCCGATCCGGATAGTGTAAACGGGGTTTTACTTCGAAGATGTTCCCTGAACAGCATGCCAATGGTCTTAGTACGTTACCTTTGAAACAATCGTGTTAGATCCGGTAAAGCACCGTGTGAAATATCGTTGTCGTCGGTTTAAAAACAAAGTCGTTAAACATCTTGAGAATCAAACCAATTATTGTACAATGAATAGCCATTGCGATTGTGGCATGACAGCCATATTGATTTGCTATTAACAGCGCAAGCATCAAAGGCTGGCCTAAATTCTAAGCTGATGAAAAAACAGGAAAACCAGGTCACATTTCCAAGTTACTACTGCTAGAAATTGAATTCATTGATTAGAGCCATTTAAGACTGATGATCTGATTGAGAGATCTAGAAAATCTCCAAATCATTGGTTTTGCGCTGATGCTAACTCAATGTTTACACCAACCTTAACCTTACTCACCTTTGACTTTACAAACATATTATATATGTTGCAGTAATCACATATTGAAATTGCAGTAATCACCTTTTGAAATTGCAGTAATCCACTATCGATGTTGCAGCAATAGAGGGTTAACAATATTGTGGAATTATTTGCACTCTATTTCTAAGGTGACCTTTTACAGAAAGGCTTCTGTAAACAAGTAGAGCAGCAGTTGTCTACGAGAGACAACGAGATGAATTTAGGGACAGGGCGACGCAAAACTGCCAAACTTGCTATCAAAATATGCGTGCCTACGTAATTTGATAAAGCAACAAAACTTTTCTTCAAAAATCCTATCAACGGTTCTCAAAATCTGCAAGATAATCTCAAAAACTGATATGTCGCCAGGATGCCTCTTCAATCGCAGATTGTTAAAAATCTAACATATATACTTCTTTGGCAAATACAATGTGATTTAACATTGTTCACTTTATTGATATAAATAAATTGTACGGCATTCAAACTTTGACAGACTTACGTTTTAGAATCACGCATTGCTACAAAATTGTACCGCAAGCAACGTCGAAATTGACAACGGGCATCTCTAGACATAAGCCTCAGCCATAAACGCAGAAAATTAAAACGTTAATAAAGATTGCACTGTATGGGTGCGAGAGTTGGACAGTAGGCAAAACCGAGATATAGGCCTTAGCATGAATGCCTAAAAATCATGAGCTAAGCGTCGGTTAGCTTGGTCGTAAGAGTGGCCAATCAAACAAGGCCAATTGAGAAAGTATGGCATTGGAAAAGGTAAGAGACTTGCGCTAGTCACGATAGAAGGAGAGGTGAATTAAAAACACAAGCACGCATGTAAAATAAAGTGGAGTGATATATTAGGTAGCTGGAAGAGTAACAGGTATACAGAACGACACAAGAAAAACCACCGAGAGAAATGCCAGCGGCCTCAAGTTGGCCAAGACCAATTAAACGAAGCAGTAAATCTCCTATTTCAAATTTCCAAAATTGGATGCTCTTTGGCAAATTCTTACTCTTGGCCAGCAAACAGTATACTAAAAGGCGGTATTTGCAATGTGACAACAAAAGTTTGCTTGCCAGTGATTTAAGATTAATAGCTTTTAGGATCTTCACAAGAATTTCTTACAGTAGCTCCAAAAAATTCCCAATGGTCACGAAATCATCAACATAGGAACAAGGTATCTGCAACCTTTCTAAAGTGTCTACCTGCTAATTGGATAAAACTGCAAATGAACTACTACGGGCTTATTTATTCTATAGAATGTGTTTGTATTTGACAGCTAAGCTGGTACCACGAGAAAAAGCTTTGACAAGTGAAGGTCAATTGTACCAGCTAATAATCTGATAAAACAAACAGCGCATAAAGTTCCACGCGTTGTTGCAATCTGCTTGTGACCATTGTACAAGCAAATATGTTTTTTGTGCTTTCAAAGTGTGCCTAGTCATCCGTGTATATCACATGCTGTTTTTTGTTCAGACTTGTTTTGTAATTGGCCATTGTCCGTTTGTTGTGAACAGGGTACAACTGATTATAATGTTTGAACTCAAAGGCTCTCCGGAGAAAACGCTGCGAGTGCTCCTTCTTTACACGCGCCTTTTAAAGTCTATGACTTTTCTAAATAAATTGTTACAAAACCAATAGTAGTCTAAAACTGCAAGAAAAATTTCATGTCATTCATGAGAAGGCAAAAGCATTCATAGAAAAGCCTACGGTACATTTTTGAAGGACATCACTTGTCCGATCTAAAATCTGAGTTAAAAGTGAAGTAACAGACAGCAATCTGTTTATTTGTTTGCAATCTGTAGGGTGTTTTTCACAACCCTTTTGTGTAGCTTGACAACAAATTTCTGTAATTATAACTATCTGCGTTTCTTCATTCTAAACAAAAGTGCATAAAAGTTGCGTTACCAGAGACTCTTATTCGCTTGTTTTAATTGCACAGTGTATTAACTATATTTTCGGAAATGTTCAAAAGTCAGTGACCAAGTGGGAATGTATGATGTCCTCCATGATGCCAAGAGTCATAAATTTCCTTATTTCCTTTCTTTGATCTTCCTTCTTTCTTTCCTTCTTGTCATATCCCAATCGATATTACATCAAAGAACCTACGTTCATGTGAACCTAAATTTAATCTTATTTCAACTTAAACTTGAGCTTTTGAGATCTATCACCTCGCACAGTCTTGTTTGACCAATACTTGAAAGCATTTGACTGATAGTCTCATATCATTTCGAATATCATTACAGTAATCACCTCGATGGAATTTCAAATAAATTTTTTGAATAGCCAGTTAGCAGTGCGAAAATATCGTGACTTGTTACATTGGCTTCAAAATACAAGAGCTTTGAAAAATTTAGCCACTATAGTTAATACTACGCAGAATGTGGAATACCTGCATGAGAAAGATGACAGGTTTGACAACAAATAACAATGATCACCTTATAACATATCAATATTATTTAATGATTCTTCATTCTGTGCAGCACACATATTTACAACTATGCTTACAAACACTAACACAAACTTTCTATACACGGGCATCTAATTACAGACATTCTTATCTCAAAACTAAAAATTGTCCAATCTCACTAGATATCTAGCTGCTAATTATTATGCCCTGTTTAACGATTCCTGCTTGAAAAGAGACAATTCGCTGTTTTGCCAACTTTCTTACAGAAAGAACTTCTGGTTTTTATTCTCGGTAATCTAGTTATCTCAAAATATTATTTGCGTAGAAAATTATTTTTCTGTACAGACTTACATTACATAAGAATGTTCGCGCTATATTTAACGTGGTGCGATCTCTTTCGACGCTGAAGTATACCTCATGTACCTCATGTACTCTTCAGTTGGACTGCAACACCCAAGCGTACATGGTGGCTTGTAAGCTTCTGACCATTTCCCTTCATATTCCCTAGCGTAATAGCCGGCTGATCGGTGTATCGCTTCTTGGCGCTCAATAAACGCTCCGAAACTGGCCTTTTCTCTATAAGGGTGCACATCATGGGGACAGCACATTGGTGATGGATATTCGTAAAACTGGGATGGATAAGGATAAGGTCCAGGGGCCATCATCGGGTGCTGAAATCGGGGTGGGCTATGATACTCTGTTGGCGCCTTTTGTACGTGACACATGCAGGGTACATTAGCTGGATGATGCGTTGGTGAAACTTTCACAGGCGACATATCCTCTGAATTCTTCATCGCCTTTGCCCGAGACTTCTTTCTTCTTGGGCGATACTTGTATTCTGGGTGGTCATCTCTGTGTTGTTCTGCCAATCTTTGGGCCTCATAGACATATGGCTTCTTCTCTTCATCTGTGAGGCTCTTCCAAGCTGCTCCAAGAGTTTTGCTAACAACTGCATTGTTAATACCAGGGTGTTTCTTTAATATTTCGCAGCGTTTTTCTCTCGACCAGACCATGAAGCTGTTCATCGGTCGTTTGATGTGTGACTTTGATGGCATTGTTGAGGAAGACATTTCCATTATAAGTAACTTGGTTAGACTATTTTGTCACAAACCAAAATAAGGATCAGTTCGTTACAACAGAAGAGACAGCGCGTTTCTTCACAGCTGACCCTTTACCCTTTACTTGCCAAAGTCTGTCTTAAAAAGTCCTTGTGTAATGAGGTAATAAGGATGGGCAGAAATTGCTTTCTTTGTTCTCCTCAAAACTCTGTTGCAAGCTTGTCCGTTTCGTCCAGTCTCCTTCAAACTTGACCTATTTTTCTCCAGACGAGCGTAAAATGAATTGTTTGTTTACCACAATGATTCGATACACAGCTTGTCTATTTTAACAAACAGCCTTAAAATCTGTGCTCTTGATATAATAGAATATTGCCCAGACTCTCTAAAAGACAGTGACTGATTCAATATCTGATAAAAACTTCTGAGATGAAGAGTAGAACCTTTGTCCTGGTCCTCTTCAGAGCGAATGAGCAGAGAAGGATCCTGTCAGGTATTTTAGTCGCTGCTTTCAATAAAGCAGAAAAAGGTCTGGAGCCAACAATCTCAATGACTTTTAACAATCCAGCCACCAACTTATAGAAATGTTTGTGAAAAATACTAACACTATTACACGCATTATGATAAAATGTTTATAACTCGCAACATACAACACGCAGGCGAGGAAATGAAGCTGTGTTTTGAAGCTAGTTCTCCTGTAAAGCAGTTGAAAATGAAAGAAAGTTAAAACAAGACAAAAAATTTCTCCCAGATCAGCCGGGTAATCAACGCATACGTTGATTGTGAGAAACCGACTTTCTCATTAGGCGTTTTGTTGGCCCGAACAAAGGGCTCAAACACTACACCTGCCAAATCGAACCCAGAGGTAGTTACGTACAAGTCTGCTTTGCTTGGTGCCGATCGACATATTATGTCATGGATACACACAAAGATTCCTTAGGCTATGAGCTAACGTCTGAAGACTGCATTCAAAGTTTGTTTTGATTACTTTTGTGATTAGATATAATAGCAAAAATAAATCCTTACAATAATTCAGGCTTTCTTTTTCCGGAACGGTGTTAATGGAATGATAGACAATAATTTCATATTTCGCAATAAAAACCAAAAATGTCGAATACTGACTGTCCTCAGGATGAAAAAGAAAATCAATTTGGCATCCTAAACAAAAATTACCGCATTTGGGTGAAATTTATATTTGTGTATCTGAAAGAACATCATAAAACTGGGGAAAATATCAGATGGAAAACAGTTTGTTGCAAGCAAGGAATGGAAAAGTAAAGATAAATAATTCTCCATTAAGGCCGATGTACTTGCCATACCTACGGGCAGCCTATTCGGCATTTAACTCGTGGTATAAAAGAAATAAAAGCAAAAAGAAAAGAAACTATGAATAGGCTAACGAAAAGAACCTATTTGGGAATAAAGGGTTTAAGGGCAGGGTGAAATGTGCTCGATGCTTCCTTTAGCAAGTAATAGCATGCCTTGATTAAGCCTCTTTTAAAGACTTGGTGTTCGAGCGGCGGGAAGGAGTGAAAGTGGCGGGAATGGAGTTAATTCTTACTTCCTGTCCAAACAGAATTTCCTCTAGAGACATATTTAGGATTAGTACTTAGATATAAATGGAATGAATGGTAGATTAATGGAACTGAAAATCAAAAGTTCTTATACTTTTAATTTAATCACTTTCTTTACATTTAGAAATTTCAAAAAATCTTTTTAAGCTGATAAACACAACAACATTCTAAACAATTTACATATAATATTCACTGGGATTTCACGTTGTAATTCTAGGAATCGAGCTACATTTCCGTTTGAAAGAATTCTGCGAGTCAAAGCATTTTTTGTCGTTCGTCAGAATGCTTCCCAGATGTAAAAACTAGAGTTCTATTCTGTTAGAATAAAACCTCCATATATATATTTTGCTTTTTTATCATTATAAAGAATAAAATTAGTAGCACTATACTCAGGGTCTCCCAAGGGGGAGGGGGTACTTGCTCCCGTGTTCCCTTGAAAATAAAAAAATATTCCCTTGTTCCATTAAACTAGAAATAATATTCCCATGTTCCCAGTGAAAAATTTAAGCTGTTCCCATGTTCCTGTACCATTTGTTGCCATGTTCCCTTGTTTCCGAACGCCAGGGTAGACCCTCGACACTAGCTGCCTAGGGCAGCCATACAATGGGACAAAGCAAAACCTACTCTCAGACGATCAACCTGTTGTCAGTTCAAAGGCAAAGTAGGCGACCAGCGGAGCCTTAAAATCTTTAGTTGTGGACTACAAACTTCAAAGTCAACCAGCTGTTCTTAACAGATACTGATGCTCGCATATAAAAGAGATCCAATTATGCAAACAATATTAACACTGTGAGCATACGTAGCTACTTTTGATATCATGTCAAGTTCAATTAACTACAAAACCACGAGCAGCTATTTTTGATACATTAATGCTGTTTCTGCAAGATCCGTTTTAGACGATGCAATAAATATTTTGTATTGAAAAGATTAAGGAAAATGTGCATTTGCCAAGGGAGAAGCAAAGTGATTAGTGTCAATCAATCGAAGCACAAAGTAATGACTTAAGGCTGTCTGAGGTGGAATCAACTTGGAGACGTTAAAAAGGGTAGAAAAAAGTGTTTAATAATAGGTGATTAGGAATAAATATGGTGACAAAGCAGATAACAGATGGATTAGCGCGGAGAGGAGCGTTCGGCAAAAACTCACTATAGAATCGAGGTAAACTCTAAGGTTAGCAAGAAAACTCTCTGGATGCCCAATGGAAAAGTGAATTCTGTCTTAGTTATACGATTCTATCGCATTGTTTACTTTATTTGATACTTGCTTTTACAATAACGAATAAACAATAATTAAGACTAGCATAAAGCAGTTTCAGGGATTGCTCAAGGCAGATACTTTACCGGCAAAGGTATGATTAATGTTTTAAGTACAAAATAGTCCATCATAAGAAATTTACAGTACAAAACAATTTGAAATAATGTTATTCTCTTGCACGAGCATTGTTAGTCTTAGAGAAAATTTGATCTTCCATTGCCTTTTACAAATTTTATCGTTATGAGCATCTCATTGAAAATTTTTATAAACATGAAATTCAAGCAAAGTCACATTGGTAAAGAATGACCTTTATAAATTTTAAACTTTTTGTCTATTTCAAAGTCATCTTTGTCTTAATTGCAGTCCCCGTCTTGAAACCCTTAATTTAAGAGATATGCCAATCGTTTCATTAGATGTCAGAAAGATATTAAAAAGCATAGGCCAAAGTGCTGATTCTTGTGGTAATCTATGTCTATGGCCACCCTAACGGGCTGTATCTTCCTTTAATTTTGATAGTTTGGTTTATGTTGTATAATTACATGTCATTTTTTAAGCGATTTTGTGTAATGCTTAGTACTGAAAATTCTTAAACTTGGGTACACAAAATTCCTTAGCAATTCCTTTGTTTCTTTTTCCTTTGAAATAAAACTAGCAACAAGTAAATATAGGGTGATAAACATGGTAGAGGACGAGCAAAAATGAATAATTGAAAATAATTTACGAACGTACATGCGTATCGGGGTCACGACATGTACTGTGCTCGACTTCACATTAGCTGCTTCATATCTCTGTATGCAAAACGCGTGCATTCAAACAGTGAACTTTCCTTATTCCTTATCAAAATCTCATCCGTTGCAACAATTTCTTTAATATTTTGCCTATCCAAGTGTTACTTTCCTTATAAAGCACTTCCTTATATCAAAATGCTGGTATTTTAGATCAGAAGGAAAGAATTGCTTTCTTCTCACTAGAAATACAGTTTTGCCAAAATATTTTTGGTAGACATTCAAAGCCTTTCGATAAATCAATAAATAATTGCATCGATATGGTCATGCTTGTCTTTTCCTATTTTTCGACCTCTATGAGGTTAAAAAGACCACGTTGGGAAGAAAATAGTTTCCCTATATGCATAAAATGATTTTGAACATTATTTTCGTAAATTGGCAAATCTTAAGCTTTAAAGCGGAATTCAAGGGGATTTCTTTGAAGAAGCTTCTAGACGATATCAGCCTAGATCTGTTGTTAGACATTCTATTCACAGTGTCATATGCAATTTATAAGAAAAACATTGTTATTTTGTAAAGGCACATAGATCCCTGAATTAATGGGTCTTTCATAGAACCACTTAAATCTTCTTAATTCTAAAAGATCTTACAGCTTATGTTTGTCCCATACTTTTCACCACCGTGTCATTGAGATTAAAAATAGGTTAAGCAGCAGTAATCAATAGCGTTATTATATGGTTAACGATAGGAGCAAAATGTTTCCTTGCCATCTTGCCCCTTTAAAGGTCTCTTTAAGATGAATGTCTTGATAAATCTCGGTATTGAAGTGCATTAAAGATAGGCACCATTCCTTCATATATTATTTTGGACACCCCTTAAGCTATGATATTACACTAGCTTATAACATGTTATCTAAAAGGCCTTTGGTAAAAACATGAGAAGTTTTTTTGTTTATTTATAATCATTGTTGGTAGTCATTTTGGCTGCTCTGATTACGCGGAAATTTCTAAATACGCGGAAATTTTTACATTTCTATGTCTGCTATCCCATAAAGAGGGGCGGGGTTGACTGGCAATTACTGGCAATTACCTTAGATCATCAAGAAAAGCCAGTTTCATTATAGGAAAAAACTCAGAGATGACAAGGCAAGCAAAATAAAAAACGGGTTAACAATTCAAATACGAGTCGGCGCTTAGCTTTCATCGCAGCGGAGTTATTCTGTTGATTGTAAACCTAGACCATTCTGACAGGCGACTGGTTGTCCGATTAAAGCGTAAATGCCCAATGGAAGGCTTTATTCCATTATTGGCCGAACGCGGGAGACAAGGGACACCGAGAGCGAGGCACAGAATCCGTGTTTATTTTCAATGCTACGAACAATCAAATAGGATCACCGACGAAACGCATCGGCATCTTATGGTGTGGCTTCCACTCAATGGGAAGCTGGTTTTCATTCACGCCGAAGTGACCCCTTTGACATCTGACACTTAAATGTATATTAAACACAAAAGCAACCGTATTTTTCTATCTTCTTTCAAGTGGTTTGCTCTCGAGGTATTGCTCCTAGCTACGATTGCCGCAAAGTGACATTCTGGGTCGGACCTTTACCTGAAAATGTATTTTTGTAATATCTCAACTCAAACAGATCTGTGGCATTTGCATATTAACCGGGTGTTTGCCTCCAATCATCCGCGAGGTATTCTGCTTGGTGCAACAGTGGTGCGGCATATATATTCAATGCCATTACTACATATGCATTCGTCTTTCAGGGGAACCTCAACATTTAATTTCTAGTTGTAACATAGAATTGGGTGATACAATGATTCCATAATGAAGCTTACATATCGAAAACAATCTCTCTTTTTTATTCGTTATGAGAATATGTCCAGCCATAAGCTTTTAAAAGGGAAGAAAAGATACCATATAAAGAAGATAAATAAAGAAGATAAAGAGTCACACCAAACAATTAGATAAAAAATAATTGATATAATCGGTCTTTCATGTGCTGAAGATGCCCTTTACTTGAAAATGGGCCTAAAACGTCACTACAGCCTATAGGGATACTTGATTAGAATAAAAGGGACACTTAAGTATAATACTAGAGAGAGCTGTATTTAGAAAGAAATTCTGACAAGAAAGAAAAGGAAAACATCATTACAAAAAACAGTGTTGACAGAAGAAAGTCTTGAAGAAAGCATGGTGGAATGACAAATAAGAGTTGAATCAAGAAGTTTGTTCGCCCGGTTACATTGCACCAATGCATGATAACGCTTCATTAAATAATTTTGAACATCCCTTGAGCAAAGTGAGCGATAAAGAATCACCAGTTGAATCAATAAAACGAGCTTACGTTTTAAAACCTTCAAGAAACAATTCTAAAACAAAGCGGGGACAGGTAATCAGAGATAAGGGTAATTGCCTGAAGACAGGTAGCAAGGTAAACAAAGGAATGATACGCCTTCGATATTCATTGCAATGAACTTCAGCACTGGAAAGTGGGCACTTTGAAAATACTATTTAAAATTCTTCATGTTAAGGTTAAATACAAATTGGACAAAGAATTTTCATCCTCACTTGATGGAAAAGATTGGGATGTTGCAAATGAAAAACAATAGTTTTTTCGTCAGATGGTTAATATTGTTGACTGTGAAATAATCTGGAAAAAGCGGCACAACCTCTAAGAATCTTTCAGTTTGCATGCACTGCAGGGCATTTCTTAACATATAAAGTAGTGGGGAAATTCCCCACCAGCCCCTTTCATTGCCACACCAGTGGAATATGTTTGCCCTACCACTTAAGTGCACTTATGATTCGCTGAATTTTTTACTTTTTACTTTATTTGAGGTATTTGTGGATGAAATCTTCATTGAACAGGTTTCAAATCTCAATTCATTTTTCCCTGGAACTGCTGCTTCTAAATGTGATTCCCCTTCTAATTCACAAAGTCTATTTTTGAAAGCCTGTTTATCTGTAAATTCTTCCTTTATCTATATGCCATTTTCTCAAATGCCCCACCAGTGGAAAATTCTTAAAAAATGCCCTGATGCACTGTATCATTTCAGCAAAGTGGATTTGCAAAGTCTTCCTTCAGAACTTGGTACAAAAGGTTATTCGTCCAGAATATAATATTCATAATGAGAGCATGGGAAATGCTACTTTCATAGCAATCCTGCGAGGGCTAGTGTTTATTCTTGTCAAGAATCCTGTCCAGGTTTCACAAAAGAATCTTTGAAAATGATCACGAAATCATCAACAGAGTCCGCTATATCTTTATCATAAAGACCCTTCTATTTCAATTTTAGCGCTTTACATCATGACAGACCGTTCGCTGGTCCCCTACCCTAGTGTTCTTTTAATTTTATCAAGTTCGCTTTGAAGATGGTTATGAATAGAGCAAACAGTTTAAAGGCCGATTTCCATTTGACATTTTTTGTGCGCGCGGCCGTGGTGCCCAAATTTGAGCATGCGTAGCTAAGTGCTGCTGTCAAGTGGCCGAGCGCACAAAAAAGTTGAGACCCTATCAACTTTCTGACGCTCACAGCGGATGCAAAATCGAGACAACCTGATTTTAATTACGCATGCTCAGACTTGGGCGCTACGCCCGCGCGCACAAAAAATGTCAAATGGAAATCGGCCTTAAGATATACAAACACTGTTCGTCACTAACAGCCTTCACGGAATAAAACGTGAGAATTTTGGAATTTCGAACGGAATAATTGCCTTTTTGATTTAGAATTTACTGTTTAAAATTCTTTTTATAAAATCCAAAATAGAAATTATGAAATTCTAAGGCATCAATTAAATGCAAACTAAAAGTGAGAACTAAAAGTAAGTTATAATTCTTAAGGGGTATGGTGGCAACAATTATTTGAAGTACTAAAAGTACTAAAAGTAAGGCTACGTTCACACTACTCCGTATTCGTTTCGCTCCGTTTTCGTTCATGAAAACGATGTCCGTTCACACTAATCCGTTTCCATATGAATACGCTGTGAATACGATAGGTGTTCACACTATACTCCAACAAAAACGCTGTTGGTGGCCTCATTTTTGGAAAGAGGCGTTCACGAATCCTCAACAAATTGGCGCCATTATAAATGAAATTAGATAAAAGTAAATCGTGAAAAACTTTTTTGTAACAGCTACCAGTCCATTGTGAATTCTCAATTCAAAATTTTTGAGATTTGATTTGCTACAAAGCACGTAATTTGCTGCCGATGTTAGCGTTTTCACATGTCTCCGCTTTTGGTGTTCTCACTGAAAACGGAGCGTATTCAATACGCACCGTATTAGAAAGTATCCGTTTTCATTAGCGTTTTCAAACGACTCCGTTTTCATAGCAGAGTAGTGTGAACGCAAGGCAAAAACGAATTAGTTTGACTCCGTTTTCATTTGAAAACGGAGTAGTGTGAACAGGCCCTAAAAGTGAGTGATTCTTAAGGAGTATGGTGGCAACCATTATTTGAAAATGTGTGACAAATATAGAGATAAGGGTGAAAGCATTTGATAATTTGCGTGACGCTACTGCTAAACAGTTCCAAAATCAAGCGAAAGCATGCAGATTTGTCGTGTAACAAAATAAAAGACAACGTCGTCAAAATTGAAAGAAAATTATATTAAAGATAAAAACTTAGGACGTCATAACTATATGCCTGAGCAAATAAAAGGTATTTCAATGGCGGAGCAATTCAACATCATTCAAAATTTGTCGACCTCCAAGAAAAATCTGGCAACAATTGAAAGTCTACTAAGGCTATGGAGACGTCTTTGGCAGGGCGTCGATTATATGTTATTTTCAAAAATTAATTTATTTGATAATATAAAAGCATTTAGCACACGCGTGGTCAATGATAACATTTGACTTGATGATATTTTTTCATCAGTTTGTCTAATCGCGTAACATCAACTGGTAGGATAACAGAGATTTGACTAAGAATTTCGAAACACGATTGCCGGCATTTTTTTTAAATATATATTATCAAAATGAAAGGAAAAGAGAAGCATGATACTTGCAGCTTAGAATAGGGCACCATTTTGATACCACGCGCAAGTGATCGTGTAGGGTGTCATTTTCGCATCCAAATCTTTAACTTATTCAATAGTTACCTAACGACAATCGATAGTTTTCGTGAGGAGGTAGGTTAGAGGCCACGCAATGTAATACATCTGAAGACTTTCGTGATAAAGTTGTCTGATTTTCTATCTTCGGGGTTAATTGGATGGTTCTTACTCCCAGCTTTTGCAGATTGGCCGAAAAACTCTGACAGCGTACCCTAAATAGATGTACGCTCATCTTAGATATGACATAACGAAACGCCAACAATTGAACTGAATAGTCGACTAAATTACAGTAAGCTGACGCGTTTATAAACTTGCATTTTTGGTGAAGTAACAATGCTTTAAAAATATGACTCTAACAAGAGACAGAGCCTAAAGTAATCCATTCATCCATCTGCCATATTTGCTTGCACAGACAATAGCTGCACCACAGAAAATTATCAATAATGGATTGACTCGGCTAGAAAGCAATTTGTTGTTTGCACTTATTTGTTTGTGATGTTGTTATTCTTACGCTGCAACACTAGGCAACTAAAATGGCAGTGTTATCTTTGTGCTTCCTGCGCAGGTCTTTGACTGCAGGCTACTCATTTGGATGAATAAGCTCATTTAATTCTTATCTCAGTCTGATTATAGGTGGCTACGCCTTGTCTGCCGAAATGGAAGGTATTCAAAGGCAATAAAATCCACAATTGGGCACCAATGCAACAGAATGCTAAAACCACACAATGGACAAACCTATATACTATTAATCTCCGGAATAAAGACACTTTTCATGGTTGTTAGTTGTTGATCCTTGGAGGAATCAATTACTAACATGGCCCGTTTTAAAAAGATTTTTTGGGGATTCGAGGCCTCTAGTAATCCGAAAAATGAGGTGTTGTCGTGTGGTGATTCATATGAACACTGAAACGGTTTGATTTGCATGGCAGTTTTTGGAATCGAAATTCCTTGACACAATAATGAAAGCAGCGAATAATTTCATTTTAAATAATCTTTTCGTCATCAGTTCATACAGCAATCCAAAACAGTAATTTTTCCGCAAAAGAGTTGAGCACTTTTTGCATTTGTATTTATCATTACATTGCTTCCGAAGGTAGTTATTAGTGTACTGGGAAGCGGTGCTTAAAACGCCTTGCCTTTTGATTCCTACGCCTTTGGGAAAACAACTTTTCGGTTGTACAAAAATCCTAAAAAAGGCTTTGGAAAAGCACAAATCTTAAAACGTGCTTACGCTTTTTTTTCTGGCACTATTTCAGTGTAAAAAACCTCAGAATGAAATGATCGAAATTTTGAAGCTAGGAAATTCATATACCCAGTTGTGAATACAGGAAATCTGCAGAAAATGAGACTTGGATGAAAAAGGTGGTGATTAGTTTGGAAGAAGTGAGACACTGGCATGGAGTATGCAAAGTAGTTCTAAGAAATCTCCGACTAAAAGTACTTTTCTTGTCAAAACTATTTCAACATCAAACTCAATGAATTCGTAACATGCAAATTTCTTCTCGCTTGAAAACTTTTATGCTTTATCTTGGTACCTACAGAATATTCCAGAATGTATTTGAACTGGCTTAACTGAAGATCGGTCAAGACCAAGAACGTCCATAGAACTGTAGTCTCGTCGCTAGATGTTTCATCTTCAATGGGATAAAAACAAAAACGGCCTTTTCTGAGATTATTGATAGCCCTCATCATCGTTAAGGCTTTTGTGCGACCGGCATGCTTTGCGGTATTTGTTTTTTTACGCGAGTAGAAATGGGCTGGAGAAACGATATTTCGCTGGTTTTGAAGTTCTAAAATCGCAAAGCATGCCGTTTGAGCATGAGCCTTAACTACATACAAATATATAAACGCGAGTCTATGAATGCTTGCCAGCACGTGTCTTTGTAGGCGTGTACATAACTCTTCTATACTATCAACAATCATGAATTCAGTAACACTAATTGCCTTACATTTAGAGCTTGTTCAGTCAACACAAATGATGCGCATTAGCAGAAAGTCGAGCATTTGCATTTATACCAAACGCTTTGGCTGGGTAGAGAGCCCTGAAAGCAAGCGCGAAGTAAATTAGTTCCAAAATGTTAAAATCACAATGATGATAAAAGTTTAATGAGGGTTCGGTCACTTGAAAACAAATCTACATGGAAGGTCCATTCAGTTAATCACAGGAAGATAGATTGATTAGTTTCAGCTACTGCTGAGATTAGATACGGGAGAAGGCGCAAACAATCCAGGAGACAAAAGGGCAGCAGAGAAAGCATTATTGTGAGTCGTTGATGATAGGGTGTCCTTTATGGTGTTCTATTGCTTACCAATTAAGAAGCCTTAATCACGACAGGTGGCCAATTCTTCATTAGACGACAAAGATAAGCGAAGTTTATCGTATTCTCCACACAGCTTTGGGCGCCATACTTATCTGCATGAAGAGTTACAGCTCAATGTCGAATTGGACGTAAACAATCGCAAGAGATATCATTTACTATAAAGATAACATTTATGAAGGTCAAATATGATTCTGATAAATTTAGCTGCATTTTTCAGCAGAGTCAATGATGCATTCTTAATTGAGCCATGGTTAGTACACGAAGCACGCAAACTTAGCAATGTATGTTTATGTAGCAAGTTCTTTCAAAATGAAAGCAATAACGCAAATAATTAAACAACTTTGCGTAGATAACAATCATTTCATCACAATATTTTGTGATAAGCTGAAGCGAAATAAGACCTAATTATCTGACATAACGTATATATGAGAAATTAATACGAAAAACATTGCATTTTTTCGCTAAATGATGTAATATGTATTCATTAACATAACAGCACAAATTTTCAGCGAAAATGAACTTGACATTTCGCTGTAGATTCTTTCGACTATCCTTTTATGTTAAATCACCTGCTTTCCTAGGGGGTTGGGTGCCCCAACTTTGAATGCGAATTGCATTGCTAGGCATTACTTCTTTCCTCTACCTCTCCCTGCAGCTTTTCCTCTCCCTCGTCCCCCTTTACTTTGAACAGTCTCACCTGGTTTCTTTTTAGATAATTTTATCATTGAGTCTTTAGTGATGTCATCGTCATCATTGTTACTCTCCTCCCCAGACTCCGCGGCACCTCCTTCGCCTATATCTTCTTCCACAGCAACGCGTCTCTTCTTAGCAACAGAGCCAGTTGCATAAGGAGCAAGGTGTACATCTTTGTTGTAGGTGCGCGTGAAAGCAGCTTTAACCTGAGGGGAAAAGAAAACATTAAAAATCTAAACACTCTATCCTTCTTAAAAATCTATCCTTCTTGAAATCAGATCAAAGGATTCACTTCAAAATGAATCGGATTCTTTGGAATAGAAATGCAAATCTAGATTGTTTACTTCTAGAATATAAAAATAAGCCATTAATTTGACTGGACGGATAGTGATTGTACATTAATTTCTTAAAGTTCACTACATTTTGAATTATTTTGGAATCAACTTAAAGGCAAGAAAAATATACTTTGGATATGATTTGATTACACACTGTTTTATCTTGTGTCTTGTATCCTAGGTTAAGAGAATACTCTAATGTAAATATACCAGAGTGCCAAGCAGTTCCCATTTATTCCCACGTTAAAATCGATGGTCAGCCAAGTTAAAGGAAGATCAACTGGAAGTAATGATAGACATTTCATCTATACCTTTCTAACGAATCTTCTGAGAGATATCTTTTACAAAAAATTCCACAATAAAAACGTGACACGGTGAGATTGACAAGAAAATACCGAAAGTTTTTAAAACCATTTTAGGCCTAAAAAAGAAAACTTTCCTAGATCAATAGAAACCTTATCCAAGCCTATACTTGTTTATGGTACCCTCAACTTGGTCTGCAAATAAAAACTAAGATCATTGTACCTTTGATGGGATCGAGGCAGCTACATCAGATTGAGATTCCCATTTTCCAATGTCAGTTATAGATTCAAAGTCCTCACGAGTTAAGTTGTAAGAATTCATAAAGTCGATTACTTCTCTCACGGAGCCGTTGACGTCATCACCCTATTCAAGAGAGAAAACCAGGCTTAACAAGGATCAATATAACCAAATATGCAGCATATAGGAGAATATTTTCAACGTTTACAGGATAGTTACAAAATGGCAAAAAGGGTTTTGAGGAAGTTAAAGGCTACCTACCGGGCTGACTAGAGGTTCGACCAACTTCTTCTTCATCAACCAAAGATAGTCCATGTTAAGATCTGACTTCCCAGCTAAACAGCTGCAAAAATGAGTAGCAGTTGTATATGTTCAGCAAAACAGGTGGCATTGGGATCTCAGACAGAGCTGGAGAATGTGATGAACGTCATAAAAATACTCTTTTTAAAATAAGAAAAGATGTCGACTTTATATGCGAGTGTTCTTTCTTTCATTTGCTCTTGCGAAAACAAGAGAGATTCATTAGATACAACGACAATACGATGTTTTACCTCAAACGAGTGTGAACTTTCAGCTCTTGAAGTATTCTATCGTGCTTTCCCTGGCTTGAGTTTTTTCCTAGCCATTGAGGAAAATTAATTCGCTGTCCTAAACCACCACGCATCATATCAGGAGCAGCGACGCAGGAGAAAAAGCCCTGGGGGAAGAATTTCAAGGAATTCATTATCAAATAATAATTATTAGATTACACGATATGGTTACATGACTCAAGATAGATAAATTATTGCGAGGTAAGTTCGAGAAATATGAGCAAACGGATAAAGAACAAATCTTACTACGTCAAACCAGAACTAGATACGGTGATTTAAAGTTAATAAACGACCGAGCATATTTTTCTTACTCGCATTAATTGATGTCTCACGTCTAAATAAATAAGATTAGGGCAAGCCGCAGAAACTTAAAACTAATTTCGTCTAAAATTCATTAGATGTTGACCAGAAAGGTAGGGAGCTGATGACTAGGAAGGTGGATGATGAGGGTAGGACATGATTGACGGGACACGATTAGATTTATTGATACAGGGTTTCGTTCTGAATGGCCGAAATCCGTCCGCATTTGGGTACAAACATTCACCTTAAGACAAAAGTTAAAGTAAGAAAACAGTTTAACAAAAATTCAGCATCGCACATATAAGAAATTCAGCATACCTGGAGGGGCAACAAACTCCAGGCTTGAGCCTCTCTAATCTTCTTCTCAACCAAATTACTGTCGGCTATAAAATCTGCAGCTGAGCTCATAAGATCAAGAACCTTTCGCTTACTGCCTCTGAAATAAAGTGAGTTATTGTTGAAATATAGCTGAGTTAACGTAAAAAATGCCTAAAGGAGCTTATCCATCACTTCAATTAAATAATTATTTCTTGATCCGGTACAATTCCTACCAAACATGCGTGGAGCACCCGCAAATATTTGCATTTTGTTTCATATTTTTAAATTTCCTTTCTTGAATATTACTACTTCCGTCTCCTTTCCTAAAAAAATGCTGGAAATCTAAAAAAATATCATACAAGTTAGAAGAAAAAACGTACTCGCCAATCTCCTTTTATGTTTTATAGTTAACGAATATTGTTTCAATGGGGACTGGCTTAATTTGGCTTTAACATTGACGTTTATGTTTAAAGACTTTTGGCAGACAAACAAACATTAAGATATTTCTGAATAAAGATACTTTTCTTGGATAGGTTCATCTAGTGAAGTGTGAAAGCGAAGTCAAAGTCATCCTTAGTTACATGGAATTTTTGTGAAACGTCAATTCAACTGTTTCCTTTCCAAACATCACGTTTCACATGAAATATACTGCTGAAGGTACAGAAGATGCAACATACCTTGCTTGCAATGGATTCGAGAGTAAGTAATTCTCTTGAATAAACAGCGGCACGAAAGAATAATCTTCGAAAAATAAACTGAGTTTATCTTGCAAACTCATATTTTGAGAATCAGATGCAGAGAAGAGTCTCTTGGTAATGTCAAATGGGCCCTGCACGAAAAGAACAAATAAACCTCAAAACTCATCTTGTTTGATACGTTAAAAAACATGGAGTATAAAAGGATGACTAAGATATCTGGAGGCCTGGGGAGGACCCGGATAATTTTGCAACTTAGTAATCTTCATCAATTTTGTGTAAGTTGGCGACTGGGCACACATACGTCACTTATCAGGTATTTCATCAAAATTATCTTGAGTGCAAGTCATCTTGTAGAACTCCAAGAACTGGGTGCCGCTTAGAAAAACATTTATCCCTGGAAATTGATTTCATTAACCTTGAATTTACCTTTCAAGGCGAATTGCAATCTGACATCAGTGCTTGCACGTATTGCTAACTACACCTTAGTCCAAATATCAAGCAGAACCGAGAAATACACAAAATTTTGTTCCCGGTTACAGGGAGTTTTGCAGGCTCGTTTTTCTGCCATCTGAATATCTCCGACGAAGTATTTGGGGTTATGTTTGGTAGAGAGTTGTTCATCTGTAGGCATTAATAACAGGAACTGGTTAAGCAGGAAGAAAGATGTTTGACAACACCAACAGATACATTGATTTTACTGGTTTAAGCCAGGCTGCTTTTTTTAGAGCAAGCCGTTACAAAAAGTATACTTATTCTTACAATTTTGATATTTTTGTGGGATTTCTGGGCCTCATTCTTTGCTTCATCGTAAGTCATCGACTTCTTGGTGGATGACCACATTTGCAAATTATGAAGAACCTAGATAAACGGTGAGGTAGAAGCTAAATACTGTTGCTATATCAAATAATGATTATAGTTTCTTGACTAAAATAATGATTAACAATGTTATTCAGAGAGTAAATTATTAAAAATAAAATACTTAGAGATTCATGTACAGGGAAAAAGCAAGCAAGCTTAACTTTACAACTTGATTAACAGCAGAATAACAGAAATGTGCATAGCAATTTTGCTCTTCAACTCAGCCAGGCACCTAATCTTCGAGTCACATTTCAATCTTCCTCTATATAAGAAGCATAATATTTCTTTCGTACAATATATTACTTATGAAATAGCTTCGAAAAAAACAAATATTTTGAAACATACTAAAGCTCTTCGTCTGACACTGTTCAGAGTACAAAATGTCATAACATAGATCGAAAATTCGAAGCTACGAATTAAGTACACACAGATGTGGATGGAAATGGGCCGATCAGAATTGCGAGCTCATGACTGTAAAGGTTGCCCAATCAATGCCACTTGCATATTGAAAATAATACAAATGGGGTCTATGATAGCATTTTATGGCAAATTAATAAGAAAATTACCTGTCTTATATCTTGATTGGCACCAACGATTATCTGCTCCATAACCGGGGGTGGAATTCTAAGCCCCTCTTTACATGATACTGACATTGCAAATCCCTAAAGTTGAGAAAAGTACGCAAATCTTTTCTATATAAAAGTGAGTAAATATATTATTACAGACCTGTTCCTTTTTTTTGATTTCTAAAGGCAGCTGTGTCCCACTACGTCTCTATCAAATAGCTAATCGATTGTATGTTGCTTTCATACACAAACATTTAGACATATATTAAAGCATATTTTAATCAAGAATAAATTTGAACGGTGAAGTGTGAAAGCTAAGTCAAAAGTCATTCCTGCGAGGGCTTTTCGCAGTCTTTTTTATATATTAAATAACTTCCAGGTTGTCAGAGGGCATTACGTATTCTTCAATCCATATCACACATCAGACATACGATTAGTACTCATCAGTAACAGTTGTGTCAGCTACTCAATCAATAATAATATAATTTGAGAAAGATATATCGTCGACCCCTGGCTGATATAGAATTGATATGCAAATATATCTTTAGCGTAGACTGGAAGTGTCCTGAAATAATACAGCATTTCATATATGTCTGCTGTTGCCTAGTGATAATATCAAGCGTGAGAATCTGAGCTGCATCTTAGATCTGTCCTGTTCTATACACCAAAGAGAGTATAGTTTTACTATAGGACATCAAGCACTATATGATAGATCGGTAAAACAGTAATTTTGATAGCACTTTATACAAAAATAAGTAGATCAGGTGCGTATGTATAAAAAAAAGACAAGAGCTAAGTAAATTCAAGCTAAGTACATTCATTTATTGATCTATCATTAATCCATCAATCCATATTTCAAACATTGAATCTATCTTATGTTTCTGTGACTTCATTCCACTACCCCCCTTAACAAAACTGATTGCATACCATTAATCAAACACCATGCGTCAAGAGGAGGAGGGGGGGGGGAGGCCTGAATTCGAGCTCCAAAACTGATGCTAGCTTTAACTACCCTTAACCAATAACTCTTCCAATAAGCCTATGAAGGTAATTAGCCACAATTTCCATCTTTTTTTTCTTCTAAGAAATAGCCAATTATTTCTAATACAACGATTAATCAATTAAAGATACGATACATTTTTAAGGAATTCTCACCTTGATCTGTTCGATTCTAGGTTTGTAGAATCTGAGATCGAAACAATAATTCGCCAGACTTCGAATCTTTGGGTGATTTCTGTCGTTACACATGCAAATAATTGGAATTTTCGTTCCTTTAATCAGTCCAATGAGTTCCTGACAAAGAAATAATTTAGTTATTACGCTAAGGGTAAAAAATACGTTTGGAGGCTAAATAAAATAAATGGCATTAAAAATCTTTAGATGGTAGCTATTTAAGCTTGAAAATTACTAAAATAGTCACTTGGTAAGGATTGATAAACACTGGCGAGTCAGGATGTTCCCAGTCCCAGATGGCAAAACCTGTACATTATATAAAACAGAAAAAAATTTGCTTCTGCCGTCCAGTAAGTTGGCAGCAATTGGTCACTTTCCAATTCTACGTTTAAACAGTTGCCTGATCGCTACATACAGATTGTAATTCGGTGTTTTGTTTTTGGTTCAACCTCCCACCATATTGAATATCAATAGTTAAAAACTGTTAATCTTCCAAGTCAATCAGACTTGTTGCAGCGTCGTACAGTGAAGCAGTAGGGAAAAGAGGCTCATGGAGTAAGTTTACTCAATAACTACAGTTCATATTTACCTGCACTCCTCCTCTATCCTCGTTTCCAGCCATTCCATCAACTTCGTCCATAATAAGCGCATGGCGTCCTGTCACAGTTTCTCTCTTCCCTACAAAACACAAAGAAAGTACCAGGGGATAATCCATACGGAATTCACTTATTGATGGACTGGATGAAGGGAAACTACCATAAAACTGAGGGTAGAGGAAATGATAATACTGGCAGAGGAGGAAAAGGTCCAAGGCTACATCCATTATGGTATTTACTTAAGCGGTGAAATATTTAATAGGTGAAGCATATGCCCAGTTGCCAACTCGAAGACATCAGACATTATTAAGTTACAATGTGCTGCTGGTCTTCCACAGGCCCGCTGAAACCTCAACCACCCTTTTATGCCCAAATGTTATAAATTTATATCAACCACGAATTGCAGCCTCAGCTTTTGTGTCTCCAGCTCAAAAGCTTACAGTGAATATGCGTTTGCAGTAAAATCTTTCTTTCCAACATCATTAAGCATTTATCAGCTCCAACGTACCAGAAACCAACCCCCCCCCTCCCCCTCCCTGCTCGAGAATATCATTTACATACACGATCAGCGTGTGACTCTGTCCTTATCATATAGCAGTCCTCCTTTTCTGAAGTAGGCCTCAAAGGCATTTGGTCGGAAAGAAATGTGGCCAAAAATATATTGAAAAGCCTTTTATGAAACACGATCCATTTTAACAAAACAGAAAAAAGTTTTCCAATAATAATTTTTTTTGAAACTGCATGAATAAAAATTCGATTCTATTCAGATATTTAGATACCTCACTCGTCTACAAGCTAAAAAGCTTGGTAGGCCTTTCGTTAATAGCCAGAAACTTGAAAAGGATTACCCAATGAAACAGATTTTAAACGTGTCACCGCAATCAACAGTAACGTACCACTCAAGGAATGGTCCATAGTCTTATTTGACAACACTTCGGTTATATATTGCTGCAAAGTCTTTTTGCTTCGGGTATCACTAGCATTCATTTCCATAAAGGAATAGCCAGCTTCCTGCAAGACAGAAATATTTTAAAAATCAAGCAAAAGTAAATGAAACAATCTTTTTTTAAGTTCTTGGAACAAATATTTCCTACTTCCTTGTGCAAACATTTGCAAGCCAAAGCACCAACAAAAGCTAGCCAAATTAGAAAATTTTCAGCGGAAAATCAGAAGTGAAATAATCATAATTTGTTTCAAATTTTTCTACTTGATAAAACGTTCAGGAAGATTCAGTTCATGTTCACTAAGTATAGGTAAGGAGAGGGCTGTCTCACCTGGCATACAATTGTTGCTGTTGTTGTCTTTCCTACTCCCGGTGGACCCGAAAGGAGAGCACATTTAAAGATTGATCCATCTTCTTTCCCAGCAAAAAAACCTTGAAAAGAATGAATTTTTCAATACAAGCTCCTCCACTAAGAAATCGGCAATGAAAATTAGGAATCAAATTTCTAATGGATACAACTCAAAATTTCATGGGAAGTTTCAATAAAAGCTTCTATTTCAATTAGCAACGATTTCGATTGTTTTTTTATAAAAATAAAATACATCGAGCCCAGTGTACATTGATCTTAATGTTCGGTTAGCTGAAAAACTTTCCCTTGAAAATCTCACACTTAGAGGAAAGGTCAGAAATAGTACAACAAAGCATACTTTTAAGGGGACAAAAATTTTGAGAGACGCTTCTCTTAATCTACGTGGACTGTTTTCCAAACTTACAGCGTTTTCTGCTAACAAAGTTAAAGAGGATCTGTAAACCAAAAATAACAACACTTTGGTGCTTCAACAACTTGACGACAAAAACTATCATATTTATGTTTTAGCAAATAACGTTAAGGTCATGTAGGGTCCTACGAGATAACGTTATGCAGTCAACGCTATTTCAAAGCAAACGGAGGACATGAAGCAATCGTAGCAACATCCAGGCCTTGCCTTCACTCGATCGAATTGTTTTGCAAGTACTCAGGTGCAATTTCTACTTAGTCATTTTGCTGTCAAAATGTCTTTATGTTCCCTTGACATTGCACATATAGTTCTATCGCTAGAAATCTTCCAGTTTCTTATTCTGCGAGAACTGCTATCAATGTCAATAGATCATGAAAAAGCCATTCGATACACAGCTTCTCTGTTTTCAATGCCTGTGTTTACTTACCACCCTTTCCTTTCGGCTTGGCTCCTCCTTGATTATTGTCAGCCCACTTCAAAAGCCAGTTCAGAAGTTTCTTCGCGTTGCTCTTGTCACCATGCTGACCAACAATGTTCTTCATTACTTTTGGTTTGTATTTGTCTACCCACAGCAAAGTTTCTGCTTTTTGCTCTAAACAACGCAAAGTGTTTGAAGCGTTACTAGGTATCATTGCTTTCAAGATTCTTTAAGCAATGTTTTTACAGAGACACACATGAAAACCAAATTTGAGGTACATACATCTAAACTCGCAAGATACAACAAAATATAAGGGTATTTGAGTGTATAGGACGCTCTCCAAATTCCAGAAAACCACGCGAAGTAGGGAAAAGGACAAATGGATGACCAAATGATGACTCCATTAGGGCATAATTAAAACTATATGTCCAGTGTTCCTTGCAATCCAGAAATCCATTATTACTTTGTTTCTATATATGTTGCATAATAGCTTACGAGATATGTCTTGACTTGACTGTGTAGATTGACTCGGCTGGCTTGATTGACTCAGTTGGCTTGATTGACTCTGCTCCCTTGTATCTGCCTTCTTGCTATGATCTTGCTGCAACGAGGTATTAGACTCTACATGTGTCTTCTCATCGCTCTTGAAATACTTACTCTCAGAAGTAATTGTCGTGGATGGAGATTTGTAAGGCTCATTTTTCTATAAAAATATAGAGAAATTAACATGTTAGAAAATTGTTTTATCGGAAAGAATTTTCAAAGGTTTAGCTTTAAAACCCACAACAAATCTGACATTGGTAGATTATATGCTAAGCAAAAGAAATACAGCATGCAACAGAAAATCATTCGATTTCCACTTTTCAAATCTGTCTGCTAATGGACCAATTATCATATTTATCTTAAATATATATTTACCATATCATTCGTTATATTGGCTTGATCTAACAAGACAGTAAAGATTAATGCAAGCAGCAATGAGCTAGCATTTACTGGCCAATGAAGCATTGGTGCATTGACTTAGATTGTAACGCAAAGCTGGAAAAGAAGATCAACGCAAATCTGCCTTGAAAAGTCGAGGAATGAACAGGTCGATAAGTCGGTCGTTTTACCATGGATTTCGAAAGGATCTCGAAAGAAGGTCAAAGGATGTCGAAAGGATTTCGCAAAAATGCCGAAAAGATGTCGCAAAGTTGGATGCACCCACCACTAAATAGGCCACGATAAAATTAACATGGTGTATCAAAGAAATATTAAAGAATTTTCGAGTACTTGAACTGATATGAATTTTTAGGAATTTCCAAATAGTTGGAAATAACTCTATGAAGCAAAGTAGAATTAGAAGGCAATAGCGACCTCGGGATTTCTAAAGAGCAAAATTAATATTGTTTAGAAACTGAACATAGATTATTTAACCAAAAACTGCTAACAGAGAAACTGCTCCTATATTCAACTTATCAACGACTTGTAACACTACATTCGTTAAGATATTTGACTTACTGTATTTGACTAAATTCGATATCAAATTCAAGAACTAATGGATACCCGACAAGTAGCTACTGCTAAAACGTCAGTCTGAGATTGCAAAAATATGGATTTCAATTTTACTAGATCTTTATTGCTAATTAGCTTCAAAACGTGAAAAAGTAATCAGTATAAAAGCAAAAGTACCTTTTTCTCTTGTGGTGGTTCATATTTAGAAACTTTTCCTGGCATCTGTCTGATGAGGTCAAAAAATTTATCTTCGTCGAGTTGTTTTGTCCCAAAATTTGATGCCTGTGGACAAAGGTCTTAAATGTAAATGTACCAACAGAAAGGCAGTGTATCAGAAAAAGGATTGTCCCAAAACGATTGTTCCAAAATGAAGGAGAACACAACAAAGGAACAAATATACATAGGTAAATTAGCTCAAAACCTTTGAAATTTTGCTTTCTCCCGGGTCTCTTCCAACAACAAGGTAGCTTGTTTTCTTGCTCACAGCAGATACCACTTTACCACCATGACGTTTGACAAGGTCGACTGCTTGCTCCCTTTCTATTGACTCGAGAATACCGGTGATGACAAAGGATAAGCCCTCAAGACAATTATCTGCGCCCTAAAAATGGGAAAGTTTAAATTTGGCTATGAATACAGATGATAAAGGAATCAGTGCTAGCTTTTATTCTGAAATTTAACGTCGAATACATAATTCTCCAGTAAACGTAAACTTGATACCTGTCCTAATTCAACTCTAAATATCGGAATTTTGAAACTAACACTTACGACTGCTTCACCAAAATCTTTTCACAGTCTCGTAGTATAAACTGTTGAAGTACGATCTTCATATAATTGAATCTTTTACCTGCGGTAACTCCTTAGCACCAAGATTTCTCGGGCCCTCTCGAGCTTTATACGCGTAAAACGATTTCTTTTTTTCGACTGGAGTAGCTTCTTGTTTCTTTTTTTCTTCTGATGCTTCCTTCGGCTTTTCAGGAGTCTTCTTTGACTCTTCTTCCTTTTTGTTTCCACCACTTCTCACTTGCTTAGCTTTGGTTGGAGAAGGTTTCATAGGTGAGGTCTTTTTTAGAGGTTCCCTTTCTTCATCTTTCTTAGGCCCCTTTTCGTTTACTTTTTTGCCACCTCCCGTCTTCTTCGGTATCGGCGATTCATTGATAAACTTGGGCTTTTCCAGACTTGTTCTTTGCTTCTCTTTCTGTTGAAAAACGATGTTTAAACGATAGAGAAAAGCTCAGTCAATAAAATTCCTCATAATGATAGAATTCACATTCTGTTGATTTACCGAAGAATTTGTCAATATTTTGGTTGTGGTGCATCGTTGGATGCTCTACTAAGGTACCACAGGCAACTATAACGCACAGCTTGGAGTTTAGGGTGGTTGCTAGTAGAGATTCAAGGGGATGAGAAAGGTGAAAAGGGGACGCTTTGGTTGTCTGTGAAGTATTGAGCCATGTACACAAATATTTTGCTGATGTTCTAGTGTTTAACTGGAAAGGCATCAGCTTATTTGAAAGAGATGAAAAAATGACACACACCTATAGACCGGGCTACAGTGGCGGTAGGTGCCACCTCAGGGCGGAGAAATTCAAATGGATATTTTCAGGTAGCTATGGGTCTGGTTACTTGGAAAAGTGATGGTGAACGGGAAATTGTTGGGGTTCAAGGGGTAAATACGGGGGTTAAAGTTCGTCATATTAGCATATTACCTCTGCGGAGGAGCCACTGTTTTGTTTACGACTTCAGAGTTAGGCAAGTGCTTGTTATCATAAAAAAATGATCTAGAGGGAGTCTTTTAGAGCTTCTTCTTTAAATTCCGACATATTACTACAATAAGAGTAGTCACGTGACCAATGTTTACCCCTTACCATATTTGGAAGGTGAGCTTTTTTAACAGAAAACCTTTGTTCTTTTCTTTGTACCACGTATTATTTTGTTTGATACCCTTAAATGTTAAAAGATGCAAGTTAAGGCAAAGATACCTGCATTTGTCATTGTTTATCCATTGTAGGTTTCATTTTCACTTTCTTTATCATCTCTGAAGGTCACGTCTTCTTCAAGATCCAGGAACAAGTCAGTCAGTTCGTCTGGAAATGCTTGTCGTTGCCAGTCTATAGTCAGGTTCCCTTTCCAGCCAAAAGTAGAAAGATCTGGCAAATTTATGGACCTTTCATCCGATGACTTCCAAATCTTTGCAATGATGTTTGATCGCAATATGTGTAGCCTCAGTGATGATTGACATGGAGGCAAGAGTGAAATGTCTATGGCTTTGTCTTGCCTTACATACTTCTTGTCAAATATTTTTTTCCTCACATCATTGACATTTTTTTGCCGGTATCCATATAAATGGCAAACATATTCTTCAAGGTTAACAAATATTTGCTCATCAAGTTATCATACCTGCCCAAGTAGCGAAAATGTGTTAACAAATCTGTTGTTCTTCTGGACCACCTTCCAACATTCTGATTTCCCTTTGCGGAAAAAAGATGACACATAGTCATTCCCTGTGAATGCATGAAAGCCTATCAGGCACTTCTTCAAACCATCTTCCATCTCAATATCAGACAAAAATAGTCCTTTTCTATTCAAACCAACTCCAAAATCGAGATATACTTGACTTTGCTCTTTAATAATACTTAATAAAATTACCAAGATGTCGATGTCTGAGGATGGAGAGCGTACAACAACTTTTTTCGATGAATGCCGAGTTAAAGCGTTTCTTTTTCCTTGTAAACTCTTTGTAGCAGAATTCATGGTATTAAAATTCTTTAGCTATGAGATCAACATCTTTAATTTCATAATAAATGTTCTGATCGATATTGGCTTCAGCAGCTTATTTTACGTTAGTTCGGCCTGCTTCGTCGTGATCGTTATTGGTACGGTACATGATGTTTCTGTTGCCTCTTTACCCGGTACTTTTGGCAAAAATTACACATCTGGGGATAAACATCTTGTCTCTGAGTAGCTGCAGTCTTTAGTGTTTGTGGACGCTGAATAGCTTCAGTGCTAGTTTCTGCGAGGAATTTCTCATTGGATAGGATCTTTGTAAATTTTTTATAACAAGGTTCTAAGTGAACTCCGTGCTTATTTGGATCAACCTCGTCAGAAATGGAGCTGCATTGTTCTTCGTGGAGATTTTTGCCACCAAGTCGTAAACGAGTAGCCTTTGCAATTTTATCTTTATTGATGTCAGACAAATCTTACTGTACAGACAATCTTTGCTCGGGTAATGAACAATACAGCTTAGGCCTTGCATGTTTAAAAATATAAATAAAACAGGACCTCCTCAATACTTTAAAGGTACACAGAGTATCCAATTTTCAGAGCGAAAATAACAACTTAAATACTGAAAATGACGCTTAGAGCAAAACAATTCCTTCTTGGTAATGATGCACACAGGTCTTTTTGCTCTCCTACGTATTTCCGTGATTTCTTGAGTTTATTGCGTTACATATTTGTGTTACTATTTGTACAAATATTTTCAAAGCGATGAATTGCGAAAAAAGTTGCCCAGCATCTGAAGGAGATGTGGAGTCATCACGTAATAACCAAATGCGCATGAAATCAAACGGACCTAATAAATTATCATGTCTTCGCAACCATTCGCAACCACATAGTTAAAAACAGTCATTAACTCAAAGTTATTCAGGGTATCTATCAACAACAGTTCGGTTGTAGAATAATCTTGCTGATTTGTACATTATTGTAACATTTAAGAGTATTAAACAAAAAATTTCAGGTATTCTGTTAGAAAAGGCTCATTTTCCAAATATGGTAAGGGGTAAAAATTGGTCACGTGACGACTCTAATTGTAGCAATATGTCGGAATTTAATAAAGGGGCTCTAAAAGACTCCCTCTAGATTACTTTTTTATGATAACAAGCACTTGCCATGCTCTGAAGTCGTAAACAAAACAGTGGCTCCTCCGCAGAGCTAATATGCTAATATGACGAACTTTAACCCCCGTATTTACCCCTTAAACCCCAACAATTCCCCGTTCACCATCACTTTTCCAAGTAACCAGACCAATAGCTACCTGGAAATATCCATTTGAATTTCTCCGCCCTGAGGTGGCACCTACCGCCACTGTAGCCTGGTCTACTAGCAGGACACTTAGGTTTCGAAGTGCGCCAACGTAAGACTATGGGTTCTCAATATTTCTACATGCAGGACCTACTTAATGGAATGATCTGCCATTAGAAATAAGGAGCAAAAATGAAGTACATTATTTCAAATCACTACAGAAAACACACTTTTAAGCCTAGCAAATAATCTTTAGCTTCATCCAATTTATAACCTATTCTTGTACAGTCCATAAGGGTAGTTATATATTCAATAGTAGATGACTTGAACAAATAACTACGAAAAACTGCTAAAACTTTAATTTTATGCGAAAATGCGTAATACTGAAAGACATTTTTAGATTATGTATAAATTATCTATGTATTTGCACAAAGACTTGAATAATGCAAAAAGACTTGAATAGCTCCCTAATTAAATCCGCAACATCAGATATCAGCACCGTGCCTTAAAAACATAATAAATGAAAAATACCTTGTTGCTTTTGTCACATGATTCCAGTTCCTGTATACTTTTTTCAAAATCGTCATCATCGTCATCTATAATCTCCATGAACTCGTCATCAATTTTTTGTGATTCTTTTTTTTTCCCAGTTGAGCCTTCACTTGCTTTGGTTTGACTGCTATCTTTTTGTGTCTTGAAATGAGATTGAAGTATCAAAAATTTGCATTTAAATACAAAACATACTGTCATATGTAAAGACAGTGATCTTTATCAATTTTAATGAGGAATATACCATAAAATGGTTGTTAAAGATTTCATTTTTCTAATCAATGTAACAAAACCCTACTGAATTTCCAAGGGGTAAAAATATCAAGTATGCAGACCTAATTAAGATTCGGACACTATGCTCCTTTAGAAAACAACTATGGATAGAATTTAGAGTTAATCAACATGAGTGGCTTAGAGGCAAGGATGATCGAAGCTCATGGCAGCTAGGAAGTGTCACTTAACTTGAGAAATGAATTTACTTTTATATATTAACAACTTTTCGCGCATAGCTCGTTGTTAAGTGAAGAAAATAAATGATCTGCCTAAAAAGTAAAAGGAAGATAGGAATCGACAGATTGGAAAAGAACGACTGATGTTACAGGATGGAAAAGAAATGATGGACAAAATAATCTATGAACTAAAGATAGGACATATAAAGTTAAAAGATGTAGAAATATGTATAGTAAGGAATGATAGATGTAGAAAGAGGGACAGGGTTAGGAAAATAAAAAAACTGAAAGAAAAGAGGAAAATAGAGAAGAAATGAACACAGAAGTGTGAAATGAAAAAGTTAGGAAAATACAAGAAGATCTATTCAGATATGTTAATTGTTTGCTAAATTCAGAACGATATAAGGTGTCAAGATTAAAGATGAATCGTTTTCCCAATTAATTTCTGATTGCGCTGTTCGAGCAAACCGAAGGCCAATAACGAACATGTCAACATGAGAGTGGTTTGGCAGATTAAAATGTTTGGAGATGTATCAGGGTCACTGTCATATTCACTGCTGTGCAGTATTTTATTCTTGACATCCCGTAAATTCCCACCAAACCTAATTGGTGGAAATGGTGAGGTTAATCTTGGACGATGCTTCACCAATATAATGGCAAAATACATTTCATGCCAGAGATGCAGTGGATGGCGAACGAGGATAACAAGTGAAGCTGGATTTTACTGCAAATGACTTGCTTCTATTAGAAATAACGATTATTGAGTTGATGTGTTTGCATGTGTAGCAAAGATGGTTATAGCTAGGAGAAATCCCAGGAGAATCAGATGAACGAGGGCTTATGCACAGTCTTCAAGGTAGTCTTTAATATTTTTAACCCTTTTTAGAGCCTTCAGAGATGGAGGTTTATAATTTCCTTTGTTACTGAGCCGTTATGTAGAATATGGATGTTTTCACGGGGATGGTAATAGACAGGACATATAGCCTGACAATCTGACATTCAAGCTAATGTTTACTTTCTCAACGGATTCTTGTAGTAGGGATTCCAGGCCTTCATAATCTCCCAGGTGACTTTTTTGAAAATGTCTGGATGTCACAAGACTGATGACGTCATTTAACAGTAAAAAATCAGACAAAATCATCGCTAGCTTTTTACTGGAGTGTTATTTTTTGAGGCAAATTGCATACTTTGACTTGTCTCGTTGCAAGCTTTCGATTGATGCATAGTTAAGCATTATTTGCCGACATCAGTATTTTTATTATGACGTCATCAAAAATTTGCATGACGTCATCAAAGATCTTATTGCCATAGAATGATACATTGGCATAAGTTTGTTTTATTATGGCGCTGGATGTCAGCAAAAGCATTTCTTCCATAATTATTTCATCCAAATAATCAGTATTCAGATCATTTAATTTAAATTTTTGCGAACCGCAATAGCCAAGGAAGTTCGAATAAGTCACTACCTGACGAGTGGGTCATTTCATCCTCGGAAGGCATTATTGCCTGGTTCAGAGTCATGGTCAGCATCTGCATTTGACTGTTGCACTGAGTTGGAAGAATAGAATGTCTTCGCACTATTATAGGCTGTCCAAGATGTCTTCGCACTATAGGTCTTTAGCGCTGGGTATGAAGGTGCTTGATTTTCTTCATGGGTAAATCCATCTTCTGAGTCATTTTCATATCCTTGTGCTGTAAAGGGAGCTTTCTTTTCACACCTTGGATGTCTTTTTAACTTCTTTTGAGATGGGGAAGCTGCTTTCCTGCGGACCATTTAGACTTTAAACAATCAAGTATGTCGTCCGAATTTCAACTGCAGGCTTTTGGGACTTGTCTTGTAGTAATTGCTTTTAAATACTGTAGCCAAAATAACCTTGTTAAGTTGACACAATTTAATTCTTCTCTGATTGAATGATTGAGGATCTGTGGAACTGCTACAGATGATTTTGTTTTTCAGATTTGATAAATACGAATCCTTGTCCCTAAGCGGCTTTAATATAGTGTTCCACTATGTTCTACAATTTCGCGAATGTCTTTGCGTCGGCGATAACTCTTTCTAAGAGTCTCAGCCCATAATTCCATGGATCTGTGGAAGAACACAGCAAATTGTGGAAACAGAAGTTTCAGCGATGCCTCAAATCTCGACGATTTGTTTGTTGTTTATGCACATAAACCACTCATTTGTGGGTTTGCACTTCTGCATTGCATGAACAAGCAGGACAAATACATCAGTATTCTTCGCAACAACAACTACTTTTGCATCTTGCGAGTTAGCATGCAAAATCATTCTGATTTCAGCCATTTTGTAGTTACATCTTGGAAGGACTTCTATTTGCTTTTTGAAGTTTCCCGTGCTTCTTCTCCGTAAGTTATAACCAATGGAATTGTCTGGAGCCTGTGACCCTCAGCGCTTCCAAATAATTTGGGAGCAAGTTTTATTAGATTCTCTTTGTTTGCATCATTGTAAAAAACACTTTTTACCTTGGAATATCTTTTGCTCTAAACTTTTTTTATGCACTTGCCTTGATGACCTTGAATCCAAGAAAACATCGAAAGCAGTCTAAATAATGAACGAAGACCACCAAGGTTTCGAGACTGGCAAGGCTGTCTCTATCGAAAAGGCATTTGCACATCTCATCAAAACCATAGCTCTAGTCTTGCAACTCCTGAAGTGTACTGTGACTAGGAAATGAAGCTGTTCTTCTTAATTTCATGTGCAAGGAGTCAAAACAATATATAAAAATCTACCACCAGAAAACGCCAGATGGAGTATTGATGAGATGGTCATATTTCGCAGCAGAAGATAGTCTTATTGAAGAAAGTCATGTACCTTCAGCCCAGCGCGAGGGCATCTTGGATAGCCTATAGTTTCAAGACATTCTTCCGATTTAGTGCAACAGTCAAATGACGATGCAAAGAACTTATTGTCCGGTTCAGAGTGGGAGCAAGACTTTGCAATTACGGAGGAAGAAGTGACTGACTCTTCAGATAGCACTACCTTATTCGAACTTTGGCTACTGCAGTTCGCACAAACGTAAATTAAATGATCTAAATACTAATTATTTGATTGAAAAAATTATGGAGGAAATGTTTTGCTGACATCCAGCCTCATATCAATACAAAGTTATGCCAACTTATGAGATAAGATCTTTGATGACGTCATGCAAATTTCTTGATGACGTCATAATAAAAATACTAATGGCGGCAAATCATTCTTAAATATACATCATTTAAAAGCTTGCAATGAGACGAGTCAAAATATGTAATTTGCGTCAAAAAATAACAATCCAGTGAAGTGCTAGCAATGATTTTGTCGGATTTTTTACCGTTAAATGACGTCATCAGTCCCATGACATCCAGACATTTTCAAAAAAGTCACCTGGCAGGTTATGAAAGCCTGGAATCCCAACTACAAGAATCCGTTGAGAAAGTAAACATTAGCTTGAATGTCAGATTGTCAGGCTATATGTCCTGTCTATAAGTGAAAGTGAAACCTATTCAGTTATCAGTACTTTTCCGTTGACTTTTTAAAGAGCTCCAACTTGAGTGATGTTGTTGACTTTTTGATAGCAGACATTGTAGTTTATCAGAGTAGCAGTTACGATAGAAGAAAGGATATCTTGAAATTCAGGGTTTTTGGAGTAGATTCGACGACTGGGTGTATGAACTAGAGTTTTTTTATTCATAAGGCTGGCATGAACAGAGGTCGAGAAAGCTATGTACAATTTTATTCAAAATTCAAAGTTCTAGTGTAACTTGAGAAATGATAATAATCCAAATTTATTCAAATGCCTTAGGAAAGATTACTTTTTTATGACCAAGCAAGTACGCTTTTCATTGATCAAGTGGCAGGGATGGCAAAATAACAAAAAACAAACAAATACAAGCCATTTTGAACACAGGTTTATGACTGGATAACAGTTTGTGGTTAATCAATTGATTCATTAAGGCAAAATAATAGAAAAAGCATACTTTTCAAGTTTCCCAAAGGTATCAAAGAGTTTCAATATTGTATCAAAAAATGTACAAAGCAGTATCAAAAATTTAATACTCACTCTTGCTTTACTTAACAGCGAAGTCTTTGTCTTCTGCGCTACTGGAGTTGAGCCAAAAAAGTCATCAGCATTGGTTGGCTTGAGTACCTCCTTTGGCTTTGCTACTTTCTCTTCATTTTTCCATTTGCTAGATGGCCAAAAATAAAACGTATGCTTAATCAAGATTATGAAACATGACACAAAAAGACAATAGAAAAAAGAACTGTATACAAAGAATAAATATCTGAGGATAATATTTCTACTGATTCCTTTTACAAAAGATGGATTGCTACAGCCATTTTCATTGGTCTTTTATGGGTAAAATCTGATGTAAAATGAGATCGAGCAAGCATGACATACAATTTTGCATTGGTACAAAAAACCATTGTTTTGACCAACCAAATGCTATTGAAGGCCAATAAATAGTGTGACACCATGCTTTTAAACTGTTGCCTGCTATTTTGCTTTTTTGTTATAACAGCTACTGGTGTAAATTTAGCACTCTCTTCCTGCCATGGATTGTTAGACCATTTCGTTGTAAATTTGAATAATGAACCTCAACAGTAGAAACATAAGAACCTTTATCTCAATGTTTTCTATTATATGCCAAGGTTATCATATATTTGCCAAAATCACCTAAACTTTGAACTTAATCTGCATTCAAGGGGAAGCAAGAGGGTGTTAGGGGGCCTGGCCAGCCAAAAATTTAGAGGATCCCTGAACCAAAACATTTGCAGATTATAATAAGTTTGAAAATTTGCAGATTTTGCTTCTTAGTCCTTTCTCCCATGACTGCGTTGGTTTGTACATGTTTGTGCATTACCATGTTTGTGTATGTTACGGTTTATATAGCCATTTCAATATGTTGGTAAAAAATCTTGGGCCTCTCCAACGTCAAAGTCCTGACAACCCCCATGGTATGGGTACTGATAACTAACTTTCAATACTAAAACAGTATCCATTCTAAGTTGTAACTCAAAGCCAAACCTGCTTACACATAAACTGAACTAAAAAGCTTAAAACGTTAAAACATTTTAACAAAAAGATAACCTGGGTGATTTTTCTCTACAGTCTTTTGAATAGATTATCTTTTTACTTACCGTTTATCACCCTTTTTTGGTGTAGAATCTTTTACATTCTTTGACTTTTTAACAATGGCTAAATCTTCATCATCTGCAAAAGAATATACAATCCCTACATAGATATTACGTAAGCTGGAAATGAATGTTAACCAAGGGTATTTTGCAACTTACACTTTTCATTGCTTTCATCAAGGTACCTCAACATTCTCTTGACCTGCAAGCATTTACTTTAGCCACAATTACATTCTAAGCAACTGTTGAAGACATAATGTTGCCTTAATTTTACAGCACACAAATTCAGGCTGGATCTGCAGACTATCCTCGTTGCAAAAGATCCACTTACCTGATTCGACAATGACAGTCTTTGTTGAAGTGGTTTTTCTGAGGATCAAAGATTTAATTTTGTGAAGATTTTCTAGGCAAAAAATATTACAATGCTCAGCATTATTGATTTCTATTCCTCATGAATTTTGAAAAATTCAAAATATTGACAAAAATAACCAAGAATTTTTACTTAACTTAGATATGTATCTCAAAATTTACACCAATTTCTGCTTTATGTAAAGGTGATTAAAAAATATTTTAATTCAATCAAAATTTATCAAAAGAAACAAAAAAACTTTGCAATTGATTGAATGAAGCTTCATTTTCTTGGTCTAGACAAATTGTTATACACATTTGAAGAAATATAATAATTGTCCAGTCCATGTTCGATAAATACACTCAGAAAATACAACTTATTGAGCTTATTGAATCACCAGAGCAACATCTGCCATTATCCTAATGTGTGAATTAGGTTGAAAACGTGCAATGTCGCGTCTATTGGGTTTGCTTACAAAACCATGACACAGCCCCTTTAAGTTACATACATACATACATACATACATACATACATACATACATACATACATACATATATACATACATACATACATACATACATACATATTTTATTTCTAAAGCAGGTCAGGATCTGGCAATATAGTGTTGATGTGGTTAGATAAAGCATATCACAAATATATGGTACCTCAGTTTTTGCGGCAAAGGTTCTTCATCAGAATCTGTAAAGACAGATTTAATGTTTCTTTGATTCAATGGTTTATTATTTTTATCATAATTTACCATACTTATTGTATAATTAGAAAGTATGATTGCAGACAATTACTAATCAAGCAACTAAAAAGATTTAAAGAAAGATGCCTAACCTGAATCCAAGGCCCTTTTCTTGCTCGTTTTCTTTCTTTTACTGGCCAACTAAGAAAAGGAAGAAGAAACGGTTCCTCTCTGTGATTCAGTGTTGACAAACAACAAGGAAATTCCACATTCATTAGACTGTTTATTGTTTGTACTACATTAAAAAGAAGAATTGGCAATAAATTCTTTAAAAATCACAATCGGGGGACAACTTCATTGGCTTGGAAATTTAAAAAGGGGCTCAAGCTATTACTGGCTAAATATAATGCAAGGTTATGCTGTGAAATTATCTTGGAAGGTCAGTTATATTGGAAATTCTATGCAGCATGGAAATTATGTGAGACATTGCTCAGGATTGTGGCTGTTTGAGAAAAGCCTGATTATCCTTGTTATAGTCAAGTTCTAGCTTGCATGGAATAAAATAAAGTTTTGAAATGATGGTGATGATTCGCAGGTTTGGATTGATGGTGATGAATCTCACTTACTTGATTACTTGCACTTGCTTTAGCCTTTGAACTGCCTTTGCCTTTTTCATCACTGCTGCTTGATGATTTTGCCTTGAAACCTGGGCTAAAAAATGACCTGATGTCCTGAAAGGTAAATATTTACTTATTTACTCCCCAAGATATTCTTCAAAGGTCATTTTAGCTTCAGATCATACATCGCTAAGCAGCTTGAAAATTATATATGACCATATTTGTAAACATAAAACTTGTAGTTCTGAAGAAATCCACTTAGTGTGAAATGAGAAAAATGAAAAGAAGTTAAAAATGCTAGTGATACGAACATTTTAGAAAAAGGAAATTGCAAGTTTTAGATGACAGAGGAAAAATAACTTTCTTAAATACTTTTCTGCTGAGCCATTTATCCAGGAACACCAGAACAGAAAAGAGGGGGTGGGGTGGGGGTGATTAGTGGCAGCTGGCAAATGTATTCAATGTATTTAGGACAGTACAACTGATATAATCATCAATTGTGCTGCATTGAATAGCTGGTGATTAGCTCAAGCATGGTCTCCATGAAACTGCTGAACAGTCGCAATGTATTAGATCTCTTTTTTAATACCACTACTAAAAATCTCTTAATGTTGGAGAGCTCTGTACGGCGTCTAGACTACTTTGCTGCCTATACATATACATATGCCTGCACAGCAAATATATTAAACCTTACGAAAGCTCTTCTCTGTTGGATTTAAAGACCCTGTCTAAAGTCACTCTGAATAAAGATTCCTGACAGTATCAATGTCAGATACTGTATGTTTCAAGCTCTTTCAAAATTGTAGTCTAGGTAGCTTCTAGTGTGACTTTGTTCTTGCAAGGGAAAATAAGGAAAAGCTCTTAAAAGAACTGTCCTAACCAATGGTACACAGTAGGTTTTACTTTCCTTTTACAGATAGTTACAGTATTATAAACTGTGGACCAAAATATGTAAAAGTGCTCAAATGATATTATTAATCATAATTTCATTATAAAATTTCCTTTTACATTGTTTTACACTTTTGTAAATTTACTTCCAAGTGTATATAGGTGTACTTGTAACAAAGTATACAGTGGAATTTGAAATAAACTTAACTGATCTGAATTGAGCTTACATTTACAAACTCTGCTTACATTGCAAACAAACATTGCAACCAAACATTTGGTGCAACTTTAAACAGATTCCACTGCTTATACATCCGGTAAGACTGATTACATGGTAGGGCCAAATTAACAAAAAAATGTCCTGATATGGTGATTAATTGGTTTTAGCAAATGACCAACCTTTGACAAATTTTTGATCCCCTTAAAGTTATTTGCACCCATAGTAATATTTTGCATTACCTTCCCGTCAGCCTATACTGTTAGAAATCCTTAACATGCTGCATGTGACATTACCCTTGAAAATTTTGGACTGGATCTCAATCACAAGAACAGATAGGTCTACCCACAACTGGGACATGTAAGGTGTCAATGAGATACAAATAAATTACAAAAATCCTTTGTTTCCAATGAGCAATCCCCTATTTCCATATTTCTCTCAAACACAGGTACCGCTCCAATAATTCTATCCAATAATACTATAGTGGATATTTTGTTGTTACAGCCAGGCATTTTTTCCAAAACAAATATAAGAAATGATATGAAGCGTGGGAGCCTTGCTCCTTTATATGTTCTGATTCCATTCCATGTGCATGCCCTACCTTACTTTTTAGTAAGGCAGCTAATCAAATAAAAGTCTATATTGCATTTCTGTAGGACTCAGACTTCATCGAGGAAGTTCTTTGTTTGGCAGGGGTTTAGGGGGAGGTAGAAACTCTACCGCAAGCCTAAGACATTCGAGAAATTATATTCAATTCACTCTGACTGATGTTAAGGTAAGCTTTGTCCTTTTACCTCCATAAAGATTTTGTGGTACTTCTTTACCGACTAAAAAATTCAACAATCACCCAAAAAGCTGGACCTGCTTCATACATACCATTTTTTGTGGCCTTTTAGACGTCCATGTGACTACTTCTAAATCTTTACTTTCCCGCCATCATAGTATGCAGAACTCTCTTTATCATTGTTTCCCTGTGTCTGTCTGGGGACCGCCGTCAAGGCCCGGACTGGAAAGTGCGTGTCTGGTCGAGGTCACTGAAAGGCGGTGGAGCCCCCAGGAAAACCCCGGGAAGCAAAGCGGCAGGAGGTCCTAAATTTTGCAGGATATGGGCGGGCGTCCACCGTCCCATCATTATTAACTGTCAAAATACTTTAAAGTGCAGGAGAATCATAAGTCATCTTCAAGTTATAGCCCAATTGTTTGCCGTATACGTAGGAAAATACCCCTGGTAAAAGTCGAGGGGTTGTGGAAAGCAAAATTTAGGCGATAGATGAAGAATCATAGAATATGAGAAATATAAGATAAAAAGATGCAATGTTATTAAAGACATGTAAATTAATTGCAGCATCTGAGAAACATCTAGGGTTTGATCTTTATTTCCTTATTTTTGGCAAATTTTCACATGAATAAATAAATAGTTCTAATTGCTTGATGATGGAATTTATGTAAATTATTTCAGCTTCTATCTTTAATAATTCATTTTTGGAAGCCTGGTATATTTTGAAACGAATTATTATTGCATGATGGAGGTATTTCTGATAACACAGTCATACAAGCAACTTTGCAATATTCATGCATTTTGATTGAAGACAGTTTAAGAACAAACATTTTCAAGATTAGATTGATGATGGACTGGTAGAATTCATTATAAGTTTGTCTTACGTATGAATTATCATTAAATCAAATAAATTATTCAAAAGTGTTTTCCTGAAACGCAATTTTTGCATTCCTTGTTGTAACAACATTTTGACAGCTTACGAAAAGCCTCCTTTTGCGTGTGAAAAATGTCACCTTGCTCATATTTTTTCGGAATAAGCTAACGTAAAACCTCGGGGTTTTATGATGGTTCTACGGGCATGGGTTCGTGTAGATCGACCCAGAAGGAAAAGGAAAATGATTGATAAACGTGGTAAAAATTCTCAATACAACCGTTTATAAAAATTCATCGCACTCAACTACCGCAAAATGGCATAAATCGACAAACTGGCGTGCAATGAACTCGGCGAATTTAATATAGGCCACTTCGAAATTGCCAACTAAAATCACTCAAAACTAAATAAGCGACTGATCTATGTAGTACACATATTGCTGGGTATTGATCTTGAAAATATATAAAGGAAGGAAGAAACTAAACTTTTGCTGGCAAATAGGCCCGAAAATTTAAGAAACTGCCTACCAGCCCCGAACCTCAATTTCTTAAAAAATATGTGTACTTGACTGGTCAACAAACACTGTAATCAACAGTAATTAAGCTCATGATAAATGAATGCACAAAACAGAACAACGGGGCAGAGCGTAAGGCAGGATGCAAAAGATCAAACACGCAAAATGAATACAAGAAGCAAGCACGCAAAATATTCCTTTAGTAAAATTATTTTAATAACGCTAACACATTTGCCCAACATGGGCTGTATTTCACAAAAAAACTTTACTTCTTGGTCCTCATGAGCGCAAGCAAAGGAAGCTAAATTAATTTTATATCGGAACATTATATCTCGCTTTTAATGCTACCATGGCGTTGGGAAATGGACTGCTCAAAATTTGTCAAACCGTTTCTGTGCTGTTGGAAATACAAAAGTCAATTTGATAGCTCATACCTTTTTGCTATTTCCAGAGCATCCTTACACGACGTTTTCCAGAGCAAATTTATTGCTTATCTTAATTTATTCTTGAACGTTTGATGACTGGAAAATTCTGGAAATTACGCAGTGGCAATAGTTGCGTAGAAAGCTGCAATGTGGCTCCCAAAATTATTTTCAATACATTAAAATGGATATTTTGAAATGAAAAATAGAGTTAGAGAAATAGGAATGAATGACTAAAAACCGATGTGTGGGTATATATGGTTACGCAAGATTCCATTAGTGGTTAATCTGTGATATAGGCAAGTGAGAACTGCTATCGATCCTGTCTCTATTCAGATGTTTCTGTTTCATTTTACAGTTCAATGCACATTAACTCAAAAAAGAAACTTGCATCTGTTCTGTAATTTAAGAAATCTCACTCATTTGAGTTTGCCAACATTCCAAATCCTGTCCTTTTACAGATTATTTTGTGCGATGACAAACAATTCCCATTTAAAGAAAATAAAATTCATTCTGGAATATGCTGTCCTGTAAATTTTAAGAATGGAACGCTTTGAATGATAATATAATCATTAAATTATCCACATATTATCCTCATCCACATATTTGTTATTTCAGTTTTTAAAATGTATCATCTTGTACCTGTAATTCTCCCTCTCTCTATATATATTTTATTTCTTTTTTTGTGCAACATTTATTATGTGTACGCGTAGCGTTCGTAGTTTTTTGTCTAGTTACATATAATAGCCATTGGGCTGTCATTATTCTTTGCCCCCCATGGTATCGTACCTGTAGTATCGTAGAGCAATTAGCAAGTATACGTAGTAGAATGTAGTTTGTATTGTAATATTTTATCTGGATATTAAAAAAAGCAAGAAGAAATGTTTTCATGTCTTATGGTTCGATACATTAACTACATTTTCTTCCAAATTTATTTTAAGATTTCGGGCTAACTTTGCAATTAAGGTGGTTGTTACAGGCAGTAGTGGCCCATCACTCTCCAATTCGCGTTTCTGTCGGAAAATTCAGACTTTCAATCCCCAAATACCACCCCCGATTACAACCTGGATTTCCGCCGGTATAACATATTGTTTTCCCCTTTTGCTATCCATTTCTATGTTCATTATCATTGAATGAAGCTTAATGACGTCAAGGTTTCTGCGCTTTGAATTGCGAAACTGCAAGGGCGCAGAATGTGAATTCGACAACCAACAATAACCAAGGCAACTAGAGCTCACGGAACAAAGCACGTTCATTGAAGAGCGTAAAAGAACCTAAACAATAGTTATCAACCGAGAAGATCAAAGAGGTTTTCAAAAAATTGAAAAGATTATTTTCTACGTGCAGTAATACGAGAATACTCGGTGTCATGAGGATCTTCGATGAGTAAGCTGTCTAGAGTGGACAAAACACGAGGTTTTAGTTCCACAAGCGTGATCCTCGAATTCATTTTATCGAAAGAACACGGACACAAACATCCAAAGATCAATGTAGAAGCTCGTCTCTCTCACAAGGAATTTACTATACCAGGTTAATATCGACGTTTCGTGTTTGTTGTCCAGTGCGAAGAAAACGGTTTGTTTTTTCAGAAAGATTCTGGTCGAGACTTCAGTTATCCTGGAAATCCGTCGATGTTGACTAACGGCCTGTAAATAAAGATTCTTTATATTTGCTTGGTAATTATATTGAATGCCAGAACTGTAAATAAAAAGAAAGGAAAAGTGAGATGTTGTAATATGTATAAGAAAAGACGGGATTCAAAAAAGTTATTTCAAAGTTTGACAAAGTTACAATAAAACAGACGAAACAATCTTCCTGTAATTGGAGATCCGTCAGCTGGTTTATTTGCATCGGGTTTCTTGTCTACAATTGTGAAACTTCGTTTATTGATCTTAAAATGTTTCCAAACGAAATGGAAGGACCAAAATTCCTTGAAGAGTTTACCATGGACAGCCTTGACTCAGTGATGAAAACAAAACGATTCGCTGTTAACAGTAAAGTGGGATTAAGCAAGGAAACGATTTCTGCGGACTTGGTGGAGAGAAAGGCAAATTTTCTGCGAGAAAAAGTCACAGGAACATGCGAAGGAAAAAACTCTATGGCTAAATGTTGTTGGAACAATCATTTGTTGAGAATGAAATCGGGGATAAGAAATTCACCAGGAAAGCATGTGGACTCAACCTACCTTGATAAAGATCAAATTGCTAGAACAACACAGGAAAAGGATTTTGATGAATACGAAAATTTAAAGAAATCGTTACAACGAGTAACAGGGACACAACAAAGAATAAAGAGAGAAATTAACGAAACAAAAAAATCCCTAAACAATAAATTCGACAAAATGGATAAGACGTATCGCACAATTTCAGCTGATGTAAAGGAACTTTCACACATGGTAGAGCTTGCAAGATTTGTTAACAACAGGATTGAAAGAGTTAGCATAAAAGAGAGATTGGAAAAAGAATCTAAAAAAAGAACATAAAATCGTCAGTTGTAAATAATTCACTAGTTAGAAACATTTTTCTCAATTTTGCTAAAGCTCTTTTTAGCTGTCCCATCTCTATCAAGCCCCCCCCCCCCGAAATTTAAGCCATCACTGTTAAACACTAAGTATTGTAAAAGAAAGACGCCAAAGACAAATTGGATTATCTAGAGGCAGGTTATGAGACTTTTTTGTAATGGGTCCAAAGCAATTTCTGCAATCAGTCAAAACTTGTTTGTCAAGTTTTCCCTTTACTTTCTCTTGAAGCATTTAAATCTGACACAAAACAGTGTGTGATTTTTAAGCACCCTTGTTCTATTTGGTGGAAATCTGAGAAAAAAATATTCGTGGTTAGAAAATGTGTTGGCTAATGATCCACTAGGTTTCAGTTCAACCTTGCAAACCATGGAGATCTATTCTTACTAATGGTGACAGTGCCTTCGATTTTGTTTTACCAATGGGTGGAGGACAAAGTTATAGGTTACGCCCTCTTAACTCTGAGAAAATATCCTTTTTTCAGTTTATTTTTAATTGAAAGCATTTACCAGCAAGGAATGCCAATTCTACCGATAGGGAATGCCAATGACTAACTTTTGGTTACGTAAAGGCAGTTCAAAAACCATAAATAGCAACACAAAGGATACTTTTCTAAAGTATTATCACCCTCCCCCCCCCCCCAATATTTTCTCATCTGATTTTGACGAAATACCAGATAAATCCTGTCGAGGACACGGAAGGGGGCGTCCCCCTTAGTGTCCTCCGCCATTGCTGACTATAAAGGCATTAGGATTATTCCTTTCTCAAACTTTTGAGCTAGACAGCCTCTTCAATGTGACCTTTCAAGTTCTAAGTTCTAAATTAACTTCCAAAACATTATGTTAATAGCCTTTGAGGCATTTAAATATTTTAGGCGATAGATATTTAAAAAGTAAACAAACTTGGAAAAACCAAAAAGATTGTTAGACACAATGAAGCTTTTTGTCGTTCTCTACTTATGCTCTCCAGCAAAATGACGATGATTATGATAAATGATGATTCACCATTAATTATGATAATTTATGTCTAATGATGATGCGCGGGATTACTGATTCAATACAACTAGGAAGTGTGTCGATACAACTAGGACTCATATGTATGAGGGTCTGTAATAAGAGACTTGTCGGGTTGCTGCTTTACTTTATCAACAACAGGTGGCTGCAGATGCATGATGTATTTGCATAATGTATTTACGAAAATACCAGGCTATTCAAAAGCAGGTGGTTCCTATTAATCTAAGAAAGATATTCTCATCAGTGACAAAGAGCCCCCGATCGAAAGAAGCCACCGGGATATTCTCAAATCCATGTTTTAAGACTTTGCTCAGGTTCACCTGGCATTTCAAACATTTTACAACTTCTTTAACTGAAGCATATATCTCCGCTCCCTATCATTATCATTTTTACATCTTTCCTTTAATGTTTAGCATACCACATAGAGTTTTTGAACCCTTGCTCCCTTTATTGCAGGACGTTGAAAGAGGCCCCAAGTGCCTCTGTTACACCACTGGTTGGGGGAGGGGAGGGGGGGGAAGCAAAGGAAATTTACAGACAGGTTATGGTCAAGAACTTCAAAGTGTATGAATTTCTTTATTAAGACCTAAAATATCATTGTAGTGCCTCTATCGCTAAACTTCCTAACATTGATTGTCCACGACGTCACTATTCAGGTGGAGTTCTGACTGGGGAGGGTAAGTGGGTAGGCAGAATACAAACAAATAACGAGTACCCTTTTAGAAATTGTCTCTGCAGCTACCGACAATCAGCCACAATTGCTACATTAAAAACAACTGCAAAATAGTTGACATGAAAGCAGACAGTGGGTGGGGGCATTTAACGGATTATGGTGGGATGCATTGAAAGGTCTATGAAGGCTCCCTTGAAAAAATTCCTTAGATACCAGGTACCTAGGTTGAAGACATCAATGAGCCATGCTGTCCAGGCAAATATGAAATGTCGATAATAAACACATTTGATAAAGAGGTACCTGGATCTCTCTATGATAAGTGGCCTTTTGGGGGTGCTAAACAACGTTTGCATGAAGTTCGTTACGAACAGCCTTCGCTTTATTATTTTTCTTCAAAGCTACTAAACTATGAAGCAGCTAAACTTGTGACCTGATAACCGTGTTTAAGAACAACGGGGCAACGTAGATAAACATATACTCTTTTTATCTTTTCAAAAAACTTTTGGCTTTGAAGTGGAGAATCTTCGAAAGGATGAGAAGATTGTACACTCTCTATTGAACGCGAAGATATATGATCTTACTTGGTCGGGACATAGGGATTAGCAGAGAGTACATATGTCCTTTCAGGGTCATCATGACATTGAAGGCTACCCTTTGCGAATCCCCCACAAAATCATCTCGCACTATTCATTTAGCGAACTGAAATGACAAAATACAATAAAAAGAAAGCAATTGAAAAGGTTCATGGCATTTGTGATCATTTCTTTATCTGCAAAAGGCAACATAAGGTAAATTACACCCCTATTTAATCGTGACTTCCATCGATAAACTAAGATACAACGTTTAGTGGCAATTTCTCAAATAATGTTTTATGACAATAGTATAGATTGTCCATATATTATTACAAAAAAAATATTCATTTGCCCCAAAATTTTTGGTCCCTAATATTCAAGCAAGATATTGACAAACAAAAACAACGCAAAAATATTGTTGCCAAAACCTTAAATTGACTTGAATAGGTGATAATCAACTTTCATAACGTGTTTACAACTTTTAAAAAGATTTCAACAAGATGAACTTTCACCTTCCCACGCTTTTGCAAATTCGCACAAATAAAACACATAATTTACTTGATTGTCGTTAATGTGGAAAGCTAAATTGTTCCAAACACTTTGACATATTCATTACATTACTTTTATCAAAGACTTGCACAAAATACAACTTAACATTATGACCTTGCTTGAAAAATTGAGCGATTTCTTCATAGACAAAAAGAGGATTGTCCGTTGAAAGAATCTTAACCACAAGTGAAAGAAACCAGACAAACCTATTAACGATTTGTTGTTATGCTCCGTCGATGTTTTTATGAAGTCGAGTGCAACCTCCTTGGGATTTACAGTCACTTTATCACCCCTAAACAAAGCTTATTATGTTTAGAAATTTCGAGACGAGCAAATAAATGTGCCCGAATGAGCCCTGATACGCAACTGAGTCGTGAGTCACAACCCCCTCCTCCCCCTATCAAACATGTTACCCTACATTTTGAAACACTGATGCTAACTTACATTTACAATACAGCAGCCGATGTCCCAACAGGGAAGAAATCGACACCTTTGTCAGTCAGTTTGTACTGCATCAACTTTGTTTCCATAGAGCTATCAGCATCTTCAAAATAGTTCTTCGTGACTTCAATCTAGTAAAAAATCAAGGCATGATTTTAGAACTTTATTCGAAAATTAACCATGGTACGCTAATAAGATTGGTTGTTGGATCTACATTTAAGTAAAGATCATTAGATGTTTTACTGTAGAAGCGACCAAAGAAACTACAATATTGGCAAACAATGCTAAGACACTTGCAAAAAAGAAGCTACTTCGGTCCCCCGAATAAAAGGCTAACTAACGCAATAGGTTTTTGAATATTTCAGTGTGTGTTTCTATCACGCGGGAACTTTGGCTCTGTATTAAAAAACTTATCTTATAATCTAAATCGCCTCTACATTAAGCAAACTGACTATCTTGAGGAGGCGATAAGGCATTCAGCACAAACCAAGATTATAGTGGTCCTTATAGGTGCAAACAAGTTTTTCCAAAATAGGTTCTTTTCTACATTATTCTCGTATATCCCTTTTCTCTATACTGGTTTTGTTACGTCGCATTTCACATTCTTTCAGCTATGTCGAACTTTGTCTTCTATTTGCTCAGCCCGAGTATACATCCGCCGTTATGTATGATCGAGCATATGTTCACTTGGCAAGGAGTATACGACTAAAACGTCTTGTTTCCAACAGTCTATCTCATTTTGGTACTTAATTCATTTTGTCATTATATTGTTGCGATTCGGATAAATTACCATACGCAACTTTTGACTGTGAATGTGATGCTCTTGTTTTGTTATACCAAAGCACATACCAGAGTTCATCAATTTCCTCTTCACTGACAACATTAGAGATAATCAGTAGGATATAAATATATGTACAAAAAAGGACCAAACTACCTGCCCGTGGACATCCTTCGAATAGCCAGTTTCCAATCCATGAATCAAAATGCGATTGCTTGCATAATAGCTTAGCTGGTTTCGTAAATAAACCGAATCGTTGTCAACTATGTCCGTGTCACAATGAACCAAAGACAGCAAGCAGACATTCTAAAAAAGAAAAAGGAAACTCAATACAAATGTTTCGAAATAGGATGAAAATTGGCTAACAAAAACGGTTTTTGCCTCACTAACGAACATAAGCATATTGCAGCAACCACTTTAAAGGTTTATTTGATTTCACAGAGTATCAAGTTGATAAAATGCTTAACCCAAAGCCCACCTTCTGTGATAATAATCAACATCTTTCAAAACCACTAATCCTTTTCAGGAATAATACAATAGCTGGAATCGCTTTGCCTTTTACTGAGCTTTACGTCAAAGGCTGCTTTGCTTTGATTTCTTTACTTTCTGGGTGCACTATAGCCTAAGTGGGTGCACTATAGCCTACTCCGCTTCCCTGCTCCAAGACCTGTGGTTGTAACCAAAGAATTAAACATCATAGTCATCTTGTGTAATGAAAAACGTTTACAACTGTGATTAGAGCAAATATTTTTTAAATATCTAGTGTAATACTTACAGGATTACAGGAATGGGTTAACGTATAACAGTAGTGCATGAAATCGGCTAGTGAGTTCACATCAATGCCAGAGTTTAGAAGCAGACTAATATTGTCAAGAATCATCAGGACTGGCCTATCGTCTTGCCACGAAAGCACCTCTGATTTCAACTTCAGATAAAACCTAGAATAATAATTCCAAATATAGAAGGAGGAAATGACAGTAAAGATGTAGTGCCAAGTACCAGGAGTACCTGATCGTTTAGCTAGAGACTGCTTTGATAACTTATAGCATCTGTCTATCTGAGACCTCTAGAAGGTCCGCAAGAGAACAAATCAACACTGGCTTTTCATACTGGTTTGTTGCTCCTAATTTTTAAACAAATCCTGTTTCTCCTCCTTAGTTAATTTAGGCTAAAAACCAAGTTTGACCTTAAATAATTTATCTTATATCATGAACCATGAAAATAAGTCTTTATCAGACCTCCTTTCAGGAAAGTTATCCAAGTAATAAAAACATTTTTTATCTAGCTTCCTCTATCCGTAAAATGTTTATAGCTTCTGGGGAACTTTATGTGCTTCTTGCACAAGAATATCTGCATTTGATTGTAAATGTAAATCCTTGTTCTGGTTTTACTGCAGAAGCAGGTTGGCATAGAATTAGTAAAAAACCTAATATCAATTTTGTAATGGGTTAGACATCAATTAGAGGAAAGGCTGAGACAATGATTAAGTTTGCACTATCAAAGCATGTGACTCAAGTAAAGAGTGAATTTATCCTATAAAATGCAAGTCACTTTTTGGATAATACTCTGCAACTCCTAGAATATAGACTGTTTCAATTTTTTCTACTCATGTTTAGATAATCAATATATAATTACATCTACAGTGTTTTGAAAATTACTGTTTACTGGTCTGTCATGAAGTACCCAATGCCGTATAGGCAGAGCTGTACATGCTATTTGGATAAAGAATAGGATGGATATAAGTTGCTACTCTGAGTTTCAAGCTTAATGCGATCATCAGGTCATTGTTATCTGAAGTTGATTAGCTTAATCAACTTCTGTGTTGCATGGGAAAATATATATGGACAAAGATAAAAACTTTCATCAAAAGTAAAAGCTTTGATACTTACTGCCTCAGGTCAATTGGATTGGAATTTTCTGCAGTTTTGTCTAAGCATTCAGTAAATAAACTCATGCCATCAATAAACTTCAGCTGACCTTTTTCTTTGAAATTATTTAGATTAATGCCCTAAAATGAGAATTAATTCATATGTCATGTTTAGGAATTTGCAAACATAACAATACTGAGTAATCACCTATTTAAAGAAAATAATAACAATCAAAAATTTATTTTGCTACAGGGGCATACATTAGCTACAGGAAAGATATTGCTTCATGTGTGGTATACACTTCACTCCATGTGTGGTAGAGTTTTTGTTCCTTGATTTGATGTATAAAAGGTGCAGTTGTTAGTTGCATATTCTAAAGTGCATATTTTTTGTTCCATATATGGTGTCATCTATTTAGTAAAATTCATTATAAGTAACTTGCAATGTCCATCTATTTTTTAAATTTGAATGCAAATGGGGAATATTAGCAATGCAAAGTATTAACAACTGTAAAGAGAATAATAAGTGAGAAATGCATTTGACAAATAGATAAACTAATTAAAAAACCAGTTTAAATTGAATAGCATTACCAGTTTCTTTGCAATTGTTGAGTAATGAACCAATGTTTGAGCAAAACCCACCAAGCAGATATTGGCATTGCCTAGACACAATATTAATTGGGTTTAATTATTAATATAAATTAGTCATTTAACATTTTATTTGAATGCAAGGTGCTTCTTGTAATAATATTTTGGCACAATTTGGTGCAGTTTACTATCAAAGAGGGCTTAAAAACAAAAACAGCTTAAATTGTTTTATCCAGATCCTGCTAAGCTTTCCCAGTTCTGTGAAGCTAAGTTGAGGGTGATACTTAAGAAAATGAGGAGGATATATTCTGGATGATGTTCATAATCCAATGCTCAATGATAAAATTGTTGGTTAAAAATCCAATGTTTATTTTTACAATTATGCCCATCTTCAAAATTACACTCAAACCATAAATGGCCATCACAACAAAGCAGCCTGGTTCTAAGGGAAAGGAGATCATGTTGTATGACAAACTATTCTTAATATGTATATTAAATATGACTATTATAATCTAATTAAAAGATAAATCTAATAAATTAATTTAGTTTTTGAATGCTTCACATTACATTATCAATATAATAAAAATGCAAATGCTATTGATCATTTGAAGAAACTTACTTTTTAAAAATAATGACAAAAAATGATGTATGATAAAGCTTCCATCAGTCTGGTTGTCCTCAATAAGAATAAATGTTCCCTAAAATGAAAGCGACATACCATACTAACCAGCTTTTATGTTGCATTGTTCTACATTACCCCTAAGAAGAAATAACTAGCATTTTTAGTGAATATTGACAGTGCATGAGAACAACTTGCTATGTGGTGTTAGCAGTTTTAACTAGAATTAAAACATTTGGCTTTGAACTCATTTCAGGTTTGTGTACTTGCTCTAGCTACTGATTTTTCTTCATCAACGTCACACTTGAATTTGAAACAGCAACCTGAGCAAAATTTCAAGTGTGCAAGTGGTGCACTTTGGTATAACTGCGTACTCGGGTATAAGATAAGTGTGCACTTTGGTCTTAATAATTGTGCACCTCAAATTGAGCACATGAGTGGACCAAACTATGTTAGAGCCCAGGGATATCTAAGAATATCAAATAAGAATCAAATATGAAAATGAAGATTAGAAAATGCACATGATATGATTGACATCAAACCAAATGCAAGTTTTATTGTCGAGATTGTGTCGATCCTGATAAACTGGCTGAAGTAGAGGCATTAGCACTTTTAAAAACAAGGACAAGAAACCTACCTTTTGAAGACCTTCTACACAAATATTGAGCAATGATGTGAAACCAGGATACATTTTGCTAGAATCGAATCACGTTGATTTTTCTTCAACCATCTTTACTAGGCCATATGTCCTCTACCTCATAACCGTGTAAACTGAACGAGGCTGTGAAACAAAGGACTATCTATTTTCTCCTGTATTCCCGCTGCGGGTTTATTGATTAAATGCGGGATTATTACAGAGGCGGGATTATCAAGTGAGACGGGAAAGGGATCAATGAAGTGAATTGAATACGCTGATTTTATAAACCAAATTGGGCGGGATTAATTTTTCTATGTGCTGTTAAGCCCAATCTCCAGTGAGAAAAAATACTGCGAAATGCGAAAAAGTTCGCGCGAAATACGTCTTAGGCATGCGCATTAATGAGTTTAACTTTTTTCGCTTTTCGCTTGCGAAATCCTTCAACAGCCAATCATATTCCGTATTCCTTTGTCACGCTTCCAAACTTTACATTCAAATGTCGTGAGGTCAACAAAAGCATTCAAAGGAATTTGTCGCGTGAAGTATTTCGCAGCGAAATTTCGCAAGACTTTTTCTCACTGGAGATTGGGCTTTAGAAAGCGGACATAATTTTCAACATTTTCTCCAGTGTTTGACACGGAAAAAATCGCTTGTAAGCGTGAAGAACGCTAACAAAAATTGGTTGCTGTAATCAAATTAAAACGGGAAGAGACAAAGTTGAATGAACAAAAATCATTTAAAACTAAAGGAACAACTGCAATGCATTGGCTTCTTTCATTCAGCAAACCCGCATACCCTGGCCTTCTATTGTTCCAAACATAACCAACAGAATTATAGAATGGTCCGGTAACATGGCGGTCACTCGATCATAAAGTTCGATGGCCACACCCACTTATCTACCTTTTTGGGGGAAAGAGCATAGGGGAAAAATGCATGACGCTGGTCATGGCGGCACGGAATCGCGGGCGCAAATACTCCACATGGCTTCAACATATACAGTAAACACTTCAAAGTCAAAGTATAAAAGTTAATTGTTTTCGGTAATCTAGTAGACATACTACTGGATGAAACTTATAAAACAGAAATGCTTAATCAAGGTATATCAAGAAAGAACTTTTAATCATTATTTCAAAACAACAAACAAAATTGCAGGTAAATGTCGAAATCTCTACATTTATATAAAATTACAATATTGAGATGAAACATTGTCGCGATAAAAAGGGTAACTTACAGAAAAATCTAGCTATTGCTACAAAACGAAACTATTGCCAAAGTAATTGCCAAACAACAAGGTTTTTGCTGGTTATTATCATTTGTTGTGAATGTATTGCCTTTTCATGGAAAATGGAAGAAACTGGCCGCTACTTTTGATTATTATGAATGTGACTTCGTGGTCGATAAGGAATATGAAAAGGCTGAATTGTCGCGAGAAAAAGGGTTACCTACAAACAAATCTAGATTTTGCTACAAAACGAAACTATTGCCAAAGTAATTGCCAAACAACAAGGTTTTTGCTGGTTATTATCATTTGTTGTGAATGTATTGCCTTTTCATGGAAAATGGAAGAAACTGGCCGCTACTTTTGATTATTATGAATGTGACTTCGTGGTCGATAAGGAATATGAAAAGGCTAAGTTGTCGCGAGAAAAACGGTTACCTACAGACGAATCTAGATTTTGCTACAAAACGAAACTATTGCCAAAGTAATTGCCAAACAACAAGGTTTTTGCTGGTTATTATCATTTGTTGTGAATGTATTGCCTTTTCATGGAAAATGGAAGAAACTGGCCGCTACTTTTGATTATTATGAATGTGACTTCGTGGTCGATAAGGAATATGAAAAGGCTGAATTGTCGCGAGAAAAAGGGTTACCTACAAACAAATCTAGATTTTGCTACAAAACGAAACTATTGCCAAAGTAATTGCCAAACAACAAGGTTTTTGCTGGTTATTATCATTTGTTGTGAATGTATTGCCTTTTCATGGAAAATGGAAGAAACTGGCCGCTACTTTTGATTATTATGAATGTGACTTCGTGGTCGATAAGGAATATGAAAAGGCTAAGTTGTCGCGAGAAAAAGGGTTACCTACAGACAAATCTAGATTTTGCTACAAAACGAAACTATTGCCAAAGTAATTGCCAAGCATCGAGGTTTTCGCTAGTTTTTATCATTTCTTTTGATTGTATTGCCTTTTCGTGGAAAAATGAGAGAAGTTGCCATTACTTTTGGTCATATATGTGACTTCGTTATCGGGAAGGAATACAAAAGAGTTGAATTGCCGCGAGAAAAAGTGTAACCTACAGACAAATCTAGATCTTGCTACAAAACGAAACTATTGCCAAACTAATTGCCAAACATCAAGGTTTTCCCTGGTTATTATCATTTCTTTTGATTGTATTGCCTTTTCATGTAAAAAGGAGGAAAGTTGGCATTAATTTTAAATATGAACGATCACGAAATCACATTTATGACCAAAAGTAACGGCAACTTCCCTCCTTTTTCCATGAAAAGGCAATACATTCAAAACAAATGATAATAACCAGCAAAAACCTTGTTGTTTGGCAATTACTTTGGCAATAGTTTTGTTTTGTAGCAAAATCTAGATTTGTTTGTAGGTAACCCTTTTTCTCGCGACAACTTAGCCTTTTCATATTCCTTATCGACCACGAAGTCACATTCATAATAATCAAAAGTAACGGCAACTTCCCTCCTTTTTCCATGAAAAGGCAATACATTCAAAACAAATGATAATAACCAGCAAAAACCTTGTTGTTTGGCAATTACTTTGGCAATAGTTTCGTTTTGTAGCAAAATCTAGATTTGTCTGTAGGTAACCCTTTTTCTCGCGACAACTTAGCCTTTTCATATTCCTTATCGACCACGAAGTCACATTCATAATAATCAAAAGTAGCGGCCAGTTTCTTCCATTTTCCATGAAAAGGCAATACATTCAAAACAAATGATAATAACCAGCAAAAACCTTGTTGTTTGGCAATTACTTTGGCAATAGTTTCGTTTTGTAGCAAAATCTAGATTTGTCTGTAGGTAACCCTTTTTCTCGCGACAACTTAGCCTTTTCATATTCCTTATCGACCACGAAGTCACATTCATAATAATCAAAAGTAGCGGCCAGTTTCTTCCATTTTCCATGAAAAGGCAATACATTCAAAACAAATGATAATAACCAGCAAAAACCTTGTTGTTTGGCAATTACTTTGGCAATAGTTTCGTTTTGTAGCAAAATCTAGATTTGTTTGTAGGTAACCCTTTTTCTCGCGACAACTTAGCCTTTTCATATTCCTTATCGACCACGAAGTCACATTCATAATAATCAAAAGTAGCGGCCAGTTTCTTCCATTTTACATGAAAAGGCAATACATTCAAAACAAATGATAATAACCAGCAAAAACCTTGTTGTTTGGCAATTACTTTGGCAATAGTTTCGTTTTGTAGCAAAATCTAGATTTGTTTGTAGGTAACCCTTTTTCTCGCGACAACTTAGCCTTTTCATATTCCTTATCGACCACGAAGTCACATTCATAATAATCAAAAGTAACGGCAACTTCCCTCCTTTTTCCATGAAAAGGCAATACATTCAAAACAAATGATAATAACCAGCAAAAACCTTGTTGTTTGGCAATTACTTTGGCAATAGTTTCGTTTTGTAGCAAAATCTAGATTTGTCTGTAGGTAACCCTTTTTCTCGCGACAATTTCTTTAAAATAATTTTTTTTCGATTACAAAGTTACTTGGCTAATCTAAATTTTTAGACTGATTCAAAGGTTTACATTTGAAACTCTGGGCTTTTATTTCTCAATTACTAATTTTTAACTTTATAATAGCATTGCATCGAGTGGCTTCCTCTTTGGGAAAGTCAATTTAAAGTCAAATGGAAAATTTTGAAGATTTTGTTTTGTGGTTGTTGGAATGGTTTCTGAAGACATGTTGTGTAGTGCACGTGTTTAGCACAAGTCGCATTTTTATTTATCTTCGGTCAAGGGAGATGTCTTTTTCGGAACCTCTTCTCTGACAATTTTTGTTCAAGAATTGTACCACTCTAGTGCTTGACAATTTTCAAGTGATTTTCATTGCCTAACAAAACAGCTTTTGGATGTATCATTTCCTATCCTTAATGGGGAAAACGTGTACATTTTCCTGGATTCTTCAAACTTTGGTTGCAAAATGTCCTCAACTTTCTAATGGTTGGTGTGTTTTCGCCCTTTTCTGCTTATTGCATCTAAATTATATATTTTATTTTATTCTTTTGTGGTGTGTGAAAATATGTACCTGTATGCAAATGCATTTTCAGATTGGAATTTGCATCAGTTTTAATGGAAATTTTAATCGAGACACACTTAATGCCTATTTTTTAAAGTTTCATCTATGTTATGGCAATAGAACTAGTTACATTTGTTGCTAGAACAACTTTGCAACTTTTGTGCTGCCTTTGTTTTGAATATGTCGATCTATCGACGAATCTTTAATCATTCAAAACAATGTGGTGTATTCATCCTGAAATGTTGCGTGAGCAGTGTTGACATTTGCTGTAACCCCTGTGATTCATCGCGCGCATGGCAAGTACATTTTTCCCCTATGCTGGGGGAAAGTCTACAGGTCTTCTGGATACGAGGGCTACCTGTACCGTCCTTCCCTACTGTTGGTAAGCTGTGTTGGCCGAAAACCTTATTTTTCTACTCCGCATACAACTTTTAAATGTGACCCATCATTACTGTAAGACGATAAATTGACCATATTTCTCAATTGCTCAGATTATGAATCTCTCGAGCGGTGCACCAAATTTGACTGCACAATGTAGAGCAAAATTCGAAAAATTCTGCAGGAATTCTCTTAGCAAAATGTCACTCAAAATGGACATCCTTTAACCTATATACAAGGTAATTCTGAAAGCAAGTGACTTAAAAATTGCTTCTAATTCCTCTGAATAAACCTGCATTTCCAAAGCCCTTGATCTGTCGGAGAACTAGACTACCAGAAAATTGCAAACCTTAAAGTTTCCCCCGAATGCGAATTTTCTCTATAAACCGAAATCCTATGTACCCCTTTTTAGATTGTTCATTAATTTGATATATCTGTTGTAGTTAGTTATTCTAAATAACTGTATATACTTTAGAAGGACTTTTTGTATGTAGTTGAATTTTAAATTTTTGTATGTAGTTGAATTTTAAATTTGAAATAAACTGAACTGAGGGCATGATTCTAAAGTAGCATATTCACACCAAGATCTCACAAAATGCCCTCGGGCAAAACTTAAAGACCTCTTGACTCTCATTTCGGTTCAAAAACATTGGAGCTTCTAGCAATATATTTTCTCGGTTACAAGCTTTAAGAACAACGCAAGAAAACAACGCTATTTACACTAAAAATGTTACTTATTTCGATTCAGATATCAAAAAAGGTTTTCAACGTGTTCTTATAATTTCAATACATCAATTAGCGCGTGCAAATGTCAAGACCTGCAAAAGAATAATTTTAACGTCAGAAAAGGAGAACGCAAAAAAAGTTTCACAAACACACTTGACTTAAAAAGTTAATGCCATGCCAATTGTTACACTTTTTAACTAATTAAATTTCTTCATTCAAAAATTCAGGAGCTTTTTATCAAAACCTTTACATAGAGATACGTGCTCCTGTTTAGGCACAAGTCGCTAGCTAGACGATCAAAAACGGAGTCGGGGAGCTTAAATTGTGAAAACCTTACAAGCAAGCAAATTGGAATGTGATCACTAAAAAGAGGCTTATTAATTAAGTATGACGTCATGCGAAGGAACGAAAAGTTCTTGCTTACTTTGTTTGTTTTTTGGCAGCCATGGCAGCTAACATTTTGTTACCGCCCAGGAAAGCCAAACTACCAAATAGTGCCAGCCACTTCAAAGTAGTAAACATGTTCTGAAAGAGATATAAAGGCAATTAAAACCATCGCAGATAGTAGATTTTGAATTAAACACTGTTGGAATCTTTAAAAAGCTAAAAAATGGAACGAAAACTTTCAGGCTACAAACATTTCCAATACATAACAACGATGCATAAATGTTTCTTTAAATATAATTTTCACTTAAAATCACTTAAAAATCACTAAAACAACTTCTGAATCAATATCTAGAAAGAAATTCATTGTCAGCTCTATGTCTATTGGGACAATATTAAAGTTTTTAATGGCAAAAATTTCTATTGATAATGAAATATTGCGCCAATTCCTTATTATGCAACATCTCCATAGATGTCCCTATGCATACAATCTAAACTTCAAAATATGTATACTGTTATGATGTAACATATACTGTTATGATGTTGAATGGAATTCAAGTCGTACTTACCAATTTAATCCAGAACATGTAGTAAAGTCCAAATATACCTACAGAATCAAAAGAAATATGTTAAGGGAATCGATGAGGCAAGAATAATGGTATCAAGCTGCATCAATCAGATGAATAATAATAGTATCCATAGTTTTCTAGGCATTGGGTCTTGACTGAGCGAATAATGCACAGCCAAAGTCTGGCTTTACGACGAAATATGTTCTTGTTAAACTTCTCTTGAAAAAAGTTATTGGGAAACTTGAATCAGGCAACTATAGGAAGGTTAAGCAAAGCATGGGGGTAATCAACTCAGCACTTACTGTACCTTAATAAATATCAAAGATTTACCTGCAAGGCCAATGTGGAACATCAATGTTGGAACAGAGAAATCAAAGTTCGAGACATTTATACCAAGTTGGATCCACTGTAAAAAAGGGTGGATATCAGTTTAGCAGGTTCCGAAAAAGTCCTGAGAAATGCCAGGGACTCATTGGGAAAAAGATTTGAGTTAGTTGAAAGAACAGTGTGTTCTAATATTTGTAGGTCAAAACTAGTAAGTAGTAATTTATCACACACAAAAAAGACGAAAAGATGCCATCAGAATAATTGGAAAGAAGCTCATCCACAATGTCGCAAAAGGATTGGCAAAGTTATTTCATCATTCGGCATCTAGACAATCTATTTCAGAGTGAGGGGGTTGAACAAGGAAGTTTAACATGAATATCATCAAATTCTCATTAGGTGATTGACGGCTATAAAAAGACTAATTGCATTTACAACTACTTACCCAAATAAGCATCACAAAGAATGGAACTGCAATCAAAGCTGTGAAAACGTTGGAAACGATGATGGGTGGGCGTTTATCCGGAACGCGGAACATGTGCTGTTTGAATAAACAAGTTTGGTTCAGAAGAAAATCAAGCAACTCAAGAGATTAATCTGCTGATATGATCATTGTAAACTGGTAAAGTTCTTTTTTTGAAATTAGCTATAAAATTGTAAGCTTCATCTAGAAGTGCCATCAGATACTGTTTGGGAATCTGTTCATTAGAAATCACAAAAGGATTGGCAACATTAATTTCATCATATGGCACTGTTTAGCTAGATCAAGTTGTTGGCGGCTGAGCTGTATCAATATCAAACCACCTTTTAAACTGGTATCAAATTAGATGAAGAGGGATGTTATGAAAGCCACTAATAACTCAAACAGTCAGTAGTAGGCCAGTTTCGCCCCATATCAGGACTCATCAGTACAGCTAGACTGAATAAGGACCTAAAGCTGACCCAGAGCTAGCAATTAGGCAGTTGTCAATGTCAATGCATGTTGGAGGTGGTAAGGAAGTAAAAAGATTCCTTACCTCAATAACTGGCAGCGGTTCTGTTGTACGAGCTTGCTTCTTTGTTTTCTTTGGCTCTTCAGCAAAACTGAGTGAAACAGTGGCCTATGCATGCAAAATACAAAATCAAAATACCAATAACATCAATAAATTTATAGCATACTAGTGGTATAGTACACACAGCTGAGGATAAGCATAGCTTATAATCAAAACATAGATACAACTTGCAAGAACTTACACTGACAAAAATTTGTCAGTGCCCACAAGGTAATGTAAAACAGAAGACCAATTATTATCTTGTTAGACTTAGAAACTTACATTTTCTTAAAATGAATCTATTTTTGCTTTGTTTTCAGTTAATTTATCTTGTGAGAGAAATATTAAAACAACAAAATCCTAAAGTTTGTACTATAAGAGAGAGAAGAAATCTTTCAAAAGATTTCGCAAGTTATAGCTAAATAATTATATCTACCTATGTCCCACAAAACAGCATAAAAATGCAGGAAATATTTCTTGCTTGCAAGAAGCCAAACTTATACAAAACTTAACATAAGGCTGCTTAAAAGCAGGTGATTATTACTTCTTATTAAAATAAAATATTGCTAGGGGGGAAGTAGATCCTGATACAAAAAGGTGATTTCTTAAGCCAAACACCTTATCACTGAGCTCCGAGACAGTCTTTATTTGGTTAATGATAAAATTATTCAATAATAATAATAGAATTCCAACAAAAACTTACCACATTCCATTTAATTGGGATTTGTACTAACTTATCACCAACAATCAGATCCTATTAAAACAAATTTCAGGCAATGTTTGAGTTTCGGTGGAAAAATTTATCACTGAAAATGAATGAAAGTCGTCCTAATCTACACTTTTAAAAACCTTTTAATTTCTAGCACTTAACTAATTCATGAATGTGAATGAGGGAGTTACAAACAGATTTTGAAATAATTGATATTTTACTGTTTATTTTTTATAGGGCAGTAACAAATTCAAAGTAAAAAGGACTTAGATAATAAGAGATCAGTGAAAATACAACTAGGAATCCTAAAAGCAAACCAGAACAACAGAATATCTTGAGTCACATGGGCAATGTAGAAAACACAAAACCAAAGGCAGTGTGTAATGATTGCATGCAATATTAAAAATGAAAATAATGTTTAACTAATCTGTTGCCCTATGCGATAATTTCCAGTATCACAAAAGATAACAAATGTTAGCAATTATATGGCTATCATTTCTAACACAACTGCAATTTGAGAAAATGCAGCCATGGGAAAGGAGATAGCATGCTAAGATGTTTTAGTGGTTCTTTTGACTATGCATAAAAATTGCAAAAATAGTTAGCATTGTTTGATAACAAGCATCACTAACAGCACTTTTACTTTAAACTGTCCTTTTTCTACTATTCTTTTTGTGCAAGAGCATTCACTAAAAATTTTTCAATCTAAAAATTGGAGCATATATTATTGTCACTATGCATCAGAAACCAAGATTTTAAACAAAGACCAAATAGGATGCTGCCTTAACACATACCATTTTGTACTTTCCAGAAAGATTGTTGAATGAATCCTTGCCAGTTGTTCCGAGATCCTTTAAGAAAAAAAGTCAGAAATCACAAATGGAATAAGTTTTAAGTGTAGCTTGACTTGAAGTCTAAAACATGCCACTGAACATGCTAAATTACAAGTGCCATCAGAAATTAAAACATATATCATGAAGATACCTCATCACCGGATTGAATTTCATCATTTGGCACAGAAAATTCCAAAAAAATTGGTAATAAATAACAACACTCTGTTTGTATCTAGTATCTTTGATTTTGGGCACTGGCAAAAATGATATGTAATTGAGCATCCCTACTAGCTTTCCCTTGCAGTTCATGATTATTTTTCTGGAACTATATAGAGTGAAGGCACTCTAAATATAGCAGAGATTTCAAAGTTTTTGGTTCCTTCATAAGGCAAGTGTTGCCAGAAGACCATTAGCAGAGGAGTAGTAAACAGTAACTTTCAGGTGAACTATCTATAGATGCATAAAAATAGAAATAAAGAAAAACTTGTTTTCAAGGTAGGCAATTTACTTTTTTCAACAGTTTAGGAGAGCAATCAGCAGCCCCCCACAAGCAATTGAGGGAAGTCTGGTGGGGAGCAAGAGCTATGGCTCTCCACAAACGCCCAGGCCTGATTAGAGCATAAAATCAAAACAGTGGGGTTGCAATTGCAATTGCAGAACCAGATGAAGGAGGAAAGAAGAGCAAAATACATACAAGAGTAAATTTGTAAACATCATCATCTGGCTGGGCAACAAAAAAGATTTCTTGTCCAGTTGCAACATGTGTGAGCCTTACAAACGCCTGCAATTAAACAAGGTCCAGTCATTTTTAATGAAACATTCCTGCTTTTACCACATCAACAAACTCAAGGAAAAACTGTTTATACAATTGATTTTAACAAATGAGTCAAAGTCACATGAAACAGCTTTTCTAGGCACTGTAAACTTCTAAAATATTTTATCTAATATATACCTGATGAACAGTTGTTGGATTTCCTGACAACTCCTTCAATGTGAATTTCATGATAATTTTTTGATGATAATCAGCTTCAAGATCAGACTTGATGCTCTCTGGGAATTTTACTCTGTAGAAAAGGAAACATGACATTACTATCAAGAACAAAGACAATTACAACTTATGTTTATAACTAAGCTAGAATAATAGCAATCAATGAATAACACCGATGTAATATAAAGTGCCATCAGAAAATTTCTTCTAATCAGCAGCTCATAGGATTGGCTTCTACATTATCATCACTTGGCACCAAAACCAGATATATACAAAATATTTACTAGTTAAGAGAAACAAAACAAATATACAGGCCATGCTGGGAATGGCGTGCGATCGCACGCCCACGCCTTGGCACACGCCTTCCGTTGCTCAGAAGTGCAGTTTATCGCACGCCTTAAATAATCTGCAAATAACACTTTATTCTAAAGTGACCAATATGGCCCAATGTAATTTTTTTATCATAATTCAGCTATAAACGAACGGTGATAATCACGCAATCGTTTCTATTTGATCTCTACTTGACGAAAAACTTGGCGAATATTCTAATTTGCTTAAAGTTATGGTAAACGTTTTTTGAATGAAAACATCCACTTCTCGATTTCTTCAGATTCTAGTAGCCGGACTTTCAAGGCACACGATGATACCATGTTTAAAACTAACAGAAGTTCTGAAAGTGACAAAAAACCCCTGTAAACGATAGTTTCCATAATTTCTTTATCAAAGTTTTGAGTTGAGGTCTGAAAATCGCTCGACCTTTTAGGCCGATAATCCTTGCTTTGCAGTTGTGGTCGCTTGTCTCATTTGCAATAACTGCAGTGGAATCACGATATAACAACCCCGGATATAACGAACTTCCCGGTATAAGGAACTCAATGCTAGGATTCTGCCTAACAAACTCCTTACAAATTCTCTCGGTATAACAAACCCCGGATATAACGAACTCTCGTTATCACGAACCATTTTTAGGTCCCTTCATCATAATTACCCTTGATATAACGAACTTTCATAAATTCTTCATCTGCTATTTTTGTTTATTTATTTTCGGTATTCATTTATCACTTTCTCTTGGGAAGAAATCATTTTTATAATCGGCAAAACATGCCGATGATACATTTCAAGCCCGGGCTGATACACTCAGACCACGAGATGAAAGTTCGATTGCGTCAGAAATTACTGCGAATGAGTACATTGACACTAACAAATGACTTCTTACATCTAAGGCATTAGCAATAAGCGACGACAAAACTTTATTGAGAGACCCAGATGGAGAAGCAGAAAAAGACAAGTAAGAATGTGAAGTAATTGAAGACATCATTCAGGCACCAACTAGGAGCGAAATGATACCAGCTTTGCCAATCTCTTGGTCCCAAGTTATAAAAGGAACATTAAGATTTTCATTTTCAATGACCAGCCAGTTGTATTATTTGAATTCAGATTGGTTTTTTTTAGTTAAATGGTACATGTATGGCTGTACATGTGCACAGAGGTTGGAGATAGCCTAAACAAGCCCACCACAGGTTTTTTAGGCATGAACTGCGAAAGGACCCCCAAAAAACATTATCTCTTGGTTTAAAAAACTCCCGATATACGAACTATTTTCTGGTTCCCTTCAGAGTTCATTATATCGGGATTCCACTGTAGATACAACCACATAGCACATGTAAGGCTTTACCCCATGGCACATGTAAGGC